CCGTTCATCATATATTTTAGTCTCCAGTCCCCTCATCATCCTGGTTGCTCTTCTCTGCACTCTTTCTAGAGTCTCCACATCCTTTTTATAGTGTGGTGACTAAAACTGGATGCAGGACTCTAGGTGTGGCCTTACTAAGACTATAGAGTGGTATTACTACCTCACTTGATCTTGATTGTATCCCTCTGTTAATGCATCTTAGGATTGCATTGGCTTTTTGGCTGCTGTCGCACACGGCTGGCTCCTATTGAATTGGTTGTCCACTAAGACTTATCCATCCGTTATTGCAGAAGTCCACAAATCCCAGGCTGCAGCCCTCTACCGAGCTGTGGCCTGTTTGCAACCGGGCTGCACAAGCGGCAGAAAGGCATGTGTGCATGCAACTCAACTTCTAAGAGTGGCGATCCGGCGCATGTCCACACATGCGCGCAGCTCCACTTCGCAAGCCGAGCTGCGCGTGCATGCAGGCGCATTGCCACTCATGCAGCCCAGTTCGCCAAGCCACAAAAAAATAGGGACCGCTGCTTGATTGCGCTCTCGTTCCCTGGCCCTTCCTTCTTCCATGGTTAGTGAGCTGTTCCCCTGCAAATCCCCTCCCCTTCTTTCTCCTTCAAAGCCCACCCACGGTCCTCCTTCCCCTCTTCCAGGACAACTCTCTGCTGCCCAGCTGGCTGTGCTCCAATTGCCAGTCTCAGTACGATTCCGACGCCATCGAGATGGCCCTGGTGGAAGCCCTGCAGAAGAAGCTGATGGCCTTCACCCTGCAAGACCTGGTGAGGAGGGGTGGGGGACATGCCTCCCACTAGATAGGAGCCCCCCCCCCCACATGGATGGCTCTGAAACACCCGACTCGCCCCGCCTGCCCGCCTTAACACAATCCATGTTTAGCAAGTAATCCTGCGAGGCGGAATAGCGGATATTCTGTAATATACAAACCACGTTTCTTCCCACCTTTAAACTCCATCACAACACACCCTGTTTTAGGATGGGGGGTGGGGTGGGTGGGGAGAATTTGGAGGTGCAGAAGACGAAATGGCTGCTAGGAAGACTAGAAGGTCATCTTTTTTATATATAAATATATATATATATATATATATATTCTCCCGAAGGACTCAGGGCGGCTCACAACAATAAGAAACAGAGAATACAAAAGTGAAAAGACAAATTAAAGAAGAATATCCAATAAATAAGGTTAAACGTGGGAATATACCAATTCAAATTTAAGATTTAAGAATTTAAAAAATTACAAAATCAAACTTTGCTGCAAACTTTGTGAAGCCAGGCCATTCTCCGAGGGATCTGGAGCAGAGCCTAATCCGTTTGTGTCTTGCGTGTTTCAGGTGTGCTTGAAATGCAAAGGTATTAAGGATACTCACATGCCCGTCTACTGCAGTTGTGCTGGGGACTTCGACCTCCTGCTCCCCACCAAGGTAGAGTCAACCCCACTTCCTACCTTTTCCCAGCCTCCCTCCCTCCCTCCCTCCCTCCCTCCCTCCCTCTCTCCCTCCCTCCCTCAGGTCCTTGACTTCTGCCCTTCCCCTGATGGGTGAGAAGCCCCTTCCTTGGCCAGTCTCTTGCTGGAGGGTTACCCACAGTGCTGAAATCCAATTTTTTTTTTACTACCGGTTCTGTGGGTGTGGCAGGGGAAGGATACCGCAAAATATCCATTCCCTCCCCACTCCTGGAGGAAGGATACTGTAAAATATACTGCAAGAGCCTTGGTAGTACAGTGGTCTAAGGCACCCTGTTATTAACACAGCTGCCTGCAATTACTGCAGGTTCAATTCTCACCAGGCTCAAGGTTGACTCAGCCTTCCATCCTTTCTAAGGTGGGTAAATTGAGGACCCAGTTTGTGGGGGCAATAAGCTGACTTTGTATAAATATACAAAAGGATGAAGGCTATTGCTTAGCACATTGTAAGCCGCCCTGAGTCTCCGGAGAAGGGCAGCATATAAATCAAATTAAAAAAAAAAAAAAAATCTCCATTCCCTCCCCACTCCTGGAGGAAGGATACTGTAAAATCTCCGTTCCCTCCCCACTCCTTGGGGAAGGATATTGCAGAATCCCCATTCCCTCCCCACTCTGGGGCCAGCCAGAGGTGATATTTGCCGGTTTTCCGAACAACTCAAACTACCGGTTCTCCAGAACCTGCTGGATTTCACCCTTGTTGCCCACCTTCCCCTTCATTCTCTCTCTCTCTCTCTCTCTTTCCTCTCGTATCCAGAGCTTCCTGGATCACTTGAAGGTTTTCCAGGGCATCGCTCAGCATTACGGAATGACCCACTTGCTGGAGAACGTTCAGTGGCTGCTTCAGATGAATCCTCAGCTTCTCTCCTGAGAAGAGCCCCCTCGATCCTTTCGGGCAGAAGCAACCCCCAAGGTGCACAGGTCTCCTTCTCGGCCCAACTGTGACGTCCTTAAGGAGAGAACTGCTGGTGTAGGCAGCTGACGAGGAAGGCTTCACCCCGGGGAGCAAAAGCTACAAGCCTTAAGGTTGTCCTTCCTTGCGTGGAAACATCAAGAGGAGAATTAAGGCCTTGTGAAGAAGAAGAGATAATGGTGCCTCTGTCAGAACGAGGCTGAAACTCAGCAAAGAAATGCGAGGAGTATTTTTGGGGGGGCTCCTTGTCCCCTTTTTGCAGGCCCGGAACAAACTTTGGATTACGGGGGCGTTTTTCTGCCCAGATTTTACGCTGTTTTTATTTTGACTTTGGGTTGGTTTGTTGTTGTTGTTTTTTTAAAAAAAAAGTTTGTGCTATAAAGAATTCTTTCAAACCAGCTTTTGCCAATATATTTAATAAATAAAGTTGACGCTGCCTAAATCCAAATGAATGAAGCAGATAAATGTGCAATAAAGAAACAAACAGCCGGACAAATGGCTCAACGTAGAATTAACAGCTTTGGAAGGGACTTTTGAGGTCTTCTAGTCCAACCCCCTGTTCGAGCACGAGACCCTTATTCCCATTTGGGACAAACGCCAACTTCCGGCGATGGAGCGCCCACAACTTCCGGAGGTAAGCTAACTGATTAATTTTTCGCCCTTTCGGGCAATTTTTCCTTAATTCTAGGTTGAATGCGGTGGTGAAATGTACTAATTAGTTAACTCTTGGTGGTTTTCCTGCAGACATTTCATGACCCAACTAGGTAGCATCATCAGTGCTAGAAGGGAATGGGGTTTGCAGAGAGGAGAAGGAGAAGGAGGAGATGAGGATTGTGGGGTCCTCCACGCTCTCTGAGCTTACTTGTTTTCTTGCAGACGTTTCATGACCCAACTAGGTAATATCATCAGTGTTAGAAGGGGAGGGTGGGGTTTTCTCCCTGTTTATATACAAGCAGTAAACATACAAAGCCCGGGGACTTTGCTGCAGAGCCCTGGATGAATTCGCCTTTAATGTCGTAAGCCGCTCGAGAGTTACCTCGAAACAAGACGAGCAGCAAATGAACCTGAATAATGAAAATAAATCTGTCAGTCTTTGTGCCAGAAGTAGCTCATCCAGACTCCACCTGTCTCCTGACAGCTTTGGGCCCAGCCTCCAAATCCGGATGAACGTTTGATGCCAGGTTATAAGTTTCACGTGGCAAAATAACCCTCATCCTCAAGCTTTCAGATTCGGGTTAATGTCAGGGCTCCAAGTAACACACACACCCCCAAACGAAAGAAAACTCCAAGGCTTGAGTTTCCTCAAAGTTCCGTCTTATTAGAGATGTCATATTGGCACATCTGGGAAAACCCGAATCTGAAAGCTTCCGGGTTTCCCCCACCCAAAGGAAAGTCCAAGTCCCTTTCCCCTGCACCCACAAGTCCCATCACATGGTCCAATCAATGCACCGTCCCATCTGGAGATGCCTCCCAGTCACACCCCTCCAGGTGCAGGGCAGAATGTCCTTGACTCTCAGAGAAAAGAATGTTATTTTGACTACATATCTCCCCAGCTCCAGACAATCTCCTCTCCCAGTTTCCCACAGCACTAAATGTGGCAGGCCTGAAGTTCCAATGCCCAAAGTAGTTTCCAGGCCTGACAATGAGTGATGGTGGCACAGTGGTTAGACTGCAGTACTGCAGGCTACTTCAGCTGCCTGCCGGCTGCCTGCAATTTAGCAGTTCGAATCTCACCAGGCTCAAGGTTGACTTAGCCTTCCATCCTTCCGAGGTGGGTCAAATGAGGACCCAGATTGTTGGAGGGCAAAAGGCTGACTCTGTAAACAGCTTAGAGAGGGGTGTAAAAGCACTGTAAAGCAGTATATAAGTCTAAGTGCTATTACTATTCCTTCCTTCCTTCCTCTCTTATTCCCTTTCTCTTTCTCCCTGGTGCCGCAGTGGTTAGAATGCAGTATTGCAGGCTAACTCTGCCCGCTGCCAAGAGTTCGATTCTGTACAGGCCCAAGGTTGTCTCAGCCTTCCATCCTTCGAGGTCGGTAAAATGAGGACCCAAAATTGTTGGGGGCAATATGCTGACTTTGTAAACCGCTTAGAGAAGGCTGTAAAGCGGTATATAAGTGCTATTGCTATTGGTATAAAATGAATGGAAGCAGTCGTACAATAAGTTTTTTTTTTTTTTGTCCCAGCTGCGCTCAGTTTCGAGGCTTTAACCCCACGTCTTTTCCTGCGTGTCGCTTCCAGACAAGAGCGAAGCCCTTTAACCGTGCAAAACAACACAAATCTTCCTTCTGGTTGAGGTATCCGTTTCTTGCAAAGTGCCATCCGCTGGCGTCAGTTGGCTCTTCGCCATTGGGACTTGGCCAACCCCAATCCTAATCAGCCTGGCTCCGCAGTGCCTTCCCCACCCCACGGAGGTGGCGGGGCGTTGACCCTTTTTGAAACAGTAGATAAAGGCAAGTCCCGAGCGTCTGAGCTTCCCCGAAACCGGCTGTTCCCCCTGCAACTAATTAGATTGTGCAAATGGCCTGATTCAATTAGCTTCTCTGCTCGCTTGGCCCGCTGAGCTTCTCCACTCAGGAAAGGGGATCAAAAAGGAGAGAGCTTTTGATTCCGAAGGAATAACATGAAACTTGCAATTTATTTTCAGCGTTTCCGGACCCTTAGGAAGGGGTTCTCTGCCCAGTTGGTGGGTGGATGTGGCCAGGGTGGGTGTGTGGCCTCGTCGGCCTCCTGCACCACAGCGGAGGGTGTGGGGGTTGCCCTCCCCGGGCTCCGGAGGCTTTTCTTGAGCCTGCGGGAGGGTGAAAACGGCTTCCGCAGGCTCTGGAGACCGGAAATGGGCCCGTTTCCAGCCTTCCGAACTTCCAGTAGCCCCGTTTTTCGCCCTCCCTGAGCCTCCGTACGCGCCCTGCACTTACTTGCATCCAAAACGGGCCACGTGGGGACTCCTGGAAGGGGAAGGGGCGGGGTGGACGAGGCCAGCCAGGAGAGGGATTTGGTTGGTTCTCCGAACTGCCCAGAATCTTAGCTAGAGGTTTTCCCGAACCCTCAACTCCAGCAGCCCACCCCTGCAGAGACGGCATCCTTGAGGTGAACTGGTTCCCAACTCAGATAGGGCTCCCCTTAACGACCACAATTGAGCCCAATGTTTCCGTTGCTAAGCGAGACATTTGCGAAGCGGGGTTTTGTCCCGTTTCTTGCCATGCCTGCTAAGCGAACCGCCGCCGTCGTTCAGTGGGTAACACAGGTTTGTTGAGCGAATCCACCTTCCCCATCAACTTGGCTTGCCGGAAGGTCGCAAAAGTTGATCACGTGAGCCCCTCCCCCAAGCCCGCCTGCCCCCGGGAACACTTCAGCCGTCATAAATACGAGTCAATTGTCAAATATCTGAATGTAAATTATGGCCATGGAGATGCTGCAACGGTCATAAGTTTGAAAAACGGGTCCTAAGTCCTGTTTTCAGTGCCGTATGAAACTTTGGAACGGTATGTCTCGTCTAACGAAGAGGAAGACCAGGGGCGACGTGATATTTCCAATACTTGAGGGGCTGCCAAAGAGAGGAGGGGGGGGGGCTTGATGTTCTCCAAAGCACCTAGGGCTTCAGAGGGCGTTGGGGGTCTTTGAGGTCTTCCAAGGGGAAAGTTTGGGGGCCGAAACTGGTGGCCCTGAATTCAATTTTCACAGAGGCCTCGGGATTCTTGGATACCTGGCCAGAGAGAAAGAAGAACCCGTGAGTATCTGGTGTGCAGTGATGGCTTTTTTTAAAAAAACATTTCCTTGCATTTGTGGGCAGAGAAACCTAATCAAGGAGAGAAGCAACTTAGAACTAAAGAGAAATTTCCTGACAGAACAATTAATCCGTGGAACTCCTTGCCTCCAGAAGCTGTGAATGCTCTCAACGCAGGAAGTTTTAAGATGTTGGATAACCATTTGTCTGAAGCGGTGTAGGGTTTCCTGCCTAAACGGGGTTGGACTAGGACAGGGGTCTGCAACCTTAAACACTCATAAAGAGCCATTTGGACCCGTTTCCCACAGAAAAGAAAACACCGGGAGCCACAAAAACCCTTCCGGACTTATTTCTTGAGCGGCCACAAAGCTAGGATATATAGTTTATTTATTTATTTATTTATTATTTATTTATTAATTTTATTTCTATACCGCCCTTCTCCCGAAGGACTCAGGGCGGTGTCCAGCCTGATTAAAAGCACAAAACAGACAGAATTTAAAATAAATTAAAATTATTAAATGATAGGCTCAATTTAAAAGTCGAATTAAACCTTCTGTTTTCTTCTGAAACTTTTTCTTTTCTTGGATTTATCCATGGTTGGCCTACTGGGGGGTTGAAAAGCTCAATAAAACGCGTGCCGGGCGGGTGTCGCACATTGGCGGTTGTGACGCATATTTTGAGCCACAGGGAGCCGCAGCAGAGGGGTGAAAGAGCCACATGCGGCTCCAGAGCCACAGATTGCCGACCCCTGGACTAGAAGACCTCCAAGGTCCCTCTGTTCTGCTTTTTCCTTCAAACATGATTTGTTTTCCCCAACGATGGAGCGGCTCTCTCGCTCTCTCCCACAACCCTCCTGCTCCTTTTCATGTTGTGAATTTCGTGGGCATCCTAAGACTCTCCTTGGTTGGCCAGCTGTCATAAGGGGGGAAAAAAATCTTCCTTCCCAGTTTGGCATCCCCAGGCTGTGGCTGTGTTTCTTGGACACAACCATGATTTCCTGTCCTTCTTACTGGTCTGCGTCCGTGAACCAGTCTAACACATGGGAGATTATCCCGAAGACCAAAATGTGGAGACTCTGACCTGCTGCCGGCACCGTACCTGGTCAAACTTTCGGGCGCTGTACACCTTGTTCTTATTCATGAAAGTCAGCAATATCCAGTCACAGAAGAAGGACACCTGCCAAAGAACGGGGAAGGGGGGGGGCAAGAGACGATCAGTAACGGTAACAAAGTTGGAAGGGACCTTGGAGGTCATCTAGTCCAACCCCCCGCCCACGCAGCAACCCCTACTAGGGATTCGAACTGCCGAACCGCCGACCTTTCTGATCGACAAGCTCAGCGTCTCAGCCACTGAGCTACACGAAGAGAACTGTGCACAGACGTCCCAGGTGGTGCTGCTACTCACCACTCCGATGGATGTGAGGGCTGTGGCCAGGTTGATGATGGTAGGAATAAGGCTAAACTTCCCGGCCTAAAGAAAAGGAGACCCCCCCCCCAAAAAAATCTTTATGTCAGAAATTCAGTCACAAATCTCTGCAACCTGGACCCCCGTTCCCATAAGGCCAACTGGCCATTTACTCCATAACTATAAACTCGGTCAAATGAAATGCCTGGGCCAGTGATGGCGAACCTTTGCAGCACCGAATGCCGAAAAGGGAGCGTGTGCGTGCATGCGCACCAGAGGTGGGCTTCAGCAGGTTCTGACCAGTTCTGCCGAACCGGTAGCGGAAATTTTGAGTAGTTCGGAGAACCGGTAGTAAAAATTCTGACTGGCCCCGTCCCCCCATCTATTCTCTGCCTCCCAAATCCCAGCTGATAAGGGAGGAATGAGGATTTTGCAGTATCCTTCCCCTGGAGTGGGGAGGGAATGGGGATTTTACAGTATCCTTCCCTTGGAGTGAGGAGGGAATGGGGATTTTACAGTATCCTTCCCTTGGAGTGAGGAGGGAATGGGGATTTTACAGTATCCTTCCCCTGCCACGCCCACCAAGCCATGCCACGCCCACCAAGCCACACCCACAGAACCGGTACTAAAATTTTAAGAATCCCACCACTGGTGTGCACGCTTGTCTGGGCCTCAACCCGGAAGAGGAACGGGCAACACCACGCCTAGGGGGCATGCGCTCTGGAAAATGAACTTCGAGTTTCCGGCTTGCGTGTATGCGCCAGCCAGCTAGTCTTCTGTGCATGCAACAATCAGCTGGCTGGCGTGCATGATCCCGCCGGAAAACAGAAAACCAGCTCTTCCAGTTTCCGGCACTGCCGCACGCACGAAAGCCAGCTAGCTGATCATCGCAGGCGCAGGCACGCCGGAAACCCGGAAGAGGAACGGGCGGCGTCACACGTGCCAGGCGACATGTCTCCGCGTGCCACAGGTTTGCCATCACGGGCCTGAACAATACACCGTTTTCAAAATATTTATACATAAATAAAAATATATATATATTTAAGAAAAACATAAAAATAAATAAACTCTTTAACCTCCTGTGCATATTTCGGAAGAAAATCTTGATGTTCCTGGACGTGAAATTCATCACGCCAATTTATCCTTTCCTTAAATGCCATACAATGACGTTTCTAATCAAGAACATAAAACTGGTTTCAAATGAGAAGGGGGAAAAAAAAACCCTATAAACTCGGCAGGACCCTTACCTGTCCGTGCACTAAGACATCGATGCGGATTCCGTACGCTTTGATCAAGGTGCGCGTGCTTCTTCCACCCTCCTGATAATACTTTGCAAATCTGGAGAATTCAAGCAGAAGTTGTTGGTTTTTCCAGATGTGGTGGTGATACCCCGGAGCCCTCCAGAAAGAGAAGAGTTTCCTTTTGGAGCTGGGTTTCACAGGTGGGTTTCACACGATTTTACCACCGGTTCGCCCCACACCCAAAATGTGAGCGTGTTCGCACGCTCGCTTCACTCGTATGAATGCCTTCTGTGCGTGTGCATGGCTTAGAAAAGGTACGTGGTGAAACGTAAAATTTTGTTACTACTGGTTCTGTGGGCGTGGCTTATTTTGTGGGCGTGGCTTGGTAGGGGGTAATGTGACGGTGGGTGTGGCCAACTTTTTTTTTTTTTAACTTTTAAACGCATTTTTTTCTACAACCTTAAGATGTTGCAGGAAAAAAAAATGCTTTTAAAAGCCTCTGACGATCAGGCAACTCAGCTGGGATCGTCAGAGGCTTTTAAAGGCATTTTTTTTTCCTACAACCTCTTCGGCCGAAATGCTTTTAAAAGCCTCGGACGATCCCAGCTGAGCCGCGTGATCGTCAGAGGCTTTTTTTTTTTTTACGTCGCCAGCCTCTACTCATTCCTCGCTTGCCCGCCTGGGCTTCTTAGAGCCTCAACAGGACGCAGTTGTCGGAGCTAAGCAGCCACCCCGAGAAAGAGTCGGCAAAACAGCTCAGTTCGAATTGGATCTGACTGAGGAGGCTCAGCAGAAGCACCTCACTGAGGACTAGGAGCATAGGCTTTCCAAGCAGAGGGAAGACCTGCGGGAGTGCAAGGCCAGGTACCGGCACCTGGAGGCTCAGCGGGCTGAGATGGTCAGCCACTTCCAGGCCATGATGCAGTCCCACTGGAACGAGGCCCTCCGGCTCTTCGCCACCAGCGCCTCTTCCCTCCAGCCTTCACCCAAAGCCCCACACCAGGAGGCCGAAGCAGACCCAGAGTCGGAATTTCTGCCCCCCTCCGACCCACACAAAAAGACCCCGAAGGGGGAGACTCTCTGCAGCAACGCAAACGTTCATTGCATGTATCCGTCCCAGGGGCCGTAATTTGAGGACCCCTGATTTAGTGCAAGATAAAAAATGCCAATAATTTTTCTGCGGACGAACATAAGTTTCTCATGGACCACCAGTGGTCCACGTTCTACCAGTTGGTGACCACTGGACTAGAAAACCTCCAAGGTCCTTCCAATGCTGTTGTTCTGTTATTCATGCCCGGGATGGGTTTTTTCTTGTTTTTTTTTCTTGCACTAAATAATTACAGGCAAAGAGAAGCGGAATCTGGCAAACGGGCACGAAAACTTCACTATGGTTAACTTTCCCCTGGCCCCACACACACACACACACACATGGAATTGGTCAGTGTCCAGTTAGCAAATACTCCTCTTGTTTTGAGAACGGAGCTTCCTGTTGTAGTTTTCAGGTGGCCTTGAGCTGGAGCGATGCCTCCTCCTTGCCTGGCACGGCATGGATTCCAACCCCCTCCCCCACATTCCAATTCTTCCTCCTCCCTCTCCCCCCCCCCAATTGCAAATTCATTAGGCTAAAGGTCTCCAATCTTGGCAGCTTTAAGACTTGTGGACTTCAACTCCCGGCCGTTGCTGGCTGAGGAACTCTGGGAGTTGAAAGTCCGCAAGTAGTACAAGTCGCCAAGATTGGAGACCCCTGCATTAGGCTGACAGGTTGCGAAGGGGGAAGCAAAGCAGGAGGGCCAGCCTTGGCACTCCTACGCACCCTGACCGACCAGAGATGAAACCCAAAAGGGCTTAAGACTCCACCCATCCACCCCAGGGGAAAAAGCAGTAAAAGTATTACCGGTAATTGTAGCCAGAGGAAGCCTGAGTCCATTTGGGATCCAGCCTGCGGAAGGAATATCTGGGGTTGCACTCGGAGTCCGGCAGGTCAAGATTGCAATTCCAGTTAATGATCACGCCGATCACACCGCCCTACAGGACAAAAGCAGAGCCAAAAGAATCAGAATCGAGCTGGAAGGGACTTTGGAGGCCTTTTAGTCCAACCCCCTGCTCCAGAGAAGACCCTAAATACTTAGAGTAATACAGTTGGAAGGGACCTTGGAGGTCCTCTAGTCCAGCCCCCTGCTGAACCAGGAGACCCTATACTGTTTCAGACAAATGGTTACCCAACATCTTTAAAACTTCCAGTGTTGGAGAATTCATAACTTCTGGTGGCAAGCTGTTCCCCTGGTTAATTGTACTCACTGTTGGGAATCTTCCCAACCCCTTCACCAGCACCAGCACCAGACTTGGCTGAGGGTCAACTCAAAGTCATCCAAGTTGGCTTCTGGGACTGAGAACTAGCACCTGGGTTTTCCCACCTCTAGACTGGCACCTAAACCACCGCCCTTTTTTTTCCTTGCCCACCCACCCCCAACACCCCAAACATAGTGACCTCCCTACCTAACATATCGCAGTAAGGAGACCAAATGCATACAGCCAAGATAAGAGGGTTACCTTCTGAGCCAGTTCGGAAAAGTCCTCGCCTGCCTGTGCCACAATAAAGCCCAGCTTGAAGATGGGACAGTAAAGATCTGTGGTTTCGTTGAAAGTGCAGTTCCTCAGGTAGCCATCACTGTTGTCCTGGATGTTCTCTCTAGGGCAGAGACAAAGCAGGATGATTAGCCAGAAACCTAATGTCAGGTTTCGAGGTCGTCTCAAATAAATTGCATTTCAATCAAAGTCTTTGAAGAAAACTCCCACTTATTAAGCACGACATTCTAACTCCGACTCCATCGCAGCCAACACTGACTTCCAGGCCCAAAACCCTCCCTTTCCGTTCCCCACTCCCCTGCACTCATTGGCCATCTTCCAAGTCACTCTACCCCTAATCTACTGCTCCAGCTCAAAGGAATTTCCCCCCTCCCATCCCATCTCCTAGGGGATATTATCTCCAGGGAAAATAAGCAGGTGAAAAGTCAAACATCCCTTTCCAGACGCCTCCGCTTCTCCTTCTTATGTCAGCACTAGAGTAAATGCAGCTTGAAGTGCTGACACCTAACCTAAGAGGTCTTCTAGTCCAGCCCCCTCCTCGAGCAGGAGACCCTAGACCCGTGATGGTGAACCTATGGCACGCGTGCCACTTGTGGCACGCAGAGCCATATCTGTGGGCACGCAAGTGTTGCCTTAGCTCAGCTCCAGTGCGCTTGCATGTACTGGCCAGCTGATTTTCGGGCCTTCCAGAAGTCGGGAAACGGGCCATTTCCAGCCTCCGGAGGGCCTCTGTGGCGGGGCAGGCAGTTTTCGCCCTCCCCAGGCTCCAGTGGTGGTAAACCTTTTACTCACCGAGTGCCGAACAGGTCCGTGCTAATGCTAATCCTCCCCCATGCACTGTGCGCGCAATCACATCATCTGTGGATGCGTGTGGTTTTTGCGCACACAATGCACGCAGGTGAACGCCATCTGTGCATCCACGTGCTGCTCACCAGTACTCTTGTGCGCATGCACAAACGCACTCTTTTCCCAAAGTCTCAACATCTTTTTGGTAACGTGGTGTCCAAAACTGGTACTCCAGTATTCCAGGTGTGGCCTGCGTAAGGCTTTATAAAGCGGCACTAATAACACTTCACATGATTTGGATTTTATGCCTCCGTTTATACCACCAAGGATCGTGTCGGCTTTTTGGGGCTGCCGCCGCGCACGGCCGGCTCCTTTTTAAGCGATCGTCCGCCGGGTCCTTACTTGGAGAAGTGAAAGCGAGGGAAATGGATGCTGTTCTTGATCAGAATGGTGAACTCTGGAGCCATCGTCGCCAAACTCTCGCTAGGAAGTCAAAAAGAAAAAACGAAGCCACATTAAGATGGAGGCAAAGCTCGCCGGGGACCAGAAATCTGCATCCTTCTGGGTTTGTGAAGTCCACGTATAGAATTGTTTTCCTTCCTAACTCTCTACATCTGATTGCAACCAGGCTCTGGCCTTCACCTAGATATAGAAATAAAATGAAGTTGGCCACGGACAAGGCCAAGTAATCCATGCCCAGGTTCCCTTTTGGCTTCCTTTGTTAACTTTGCAGCAGATGAGCTCTGCTGGTTTTTGAAAACGGATAAAATTCTTTGAGTTTGTGGAATATCCACCTGCTTGCGAGAAATGCACTCACGTTCGTTTTAAACCATCCTGGGATTGATATAACCTGACTCAGAAGGTTATAAAAGTAAGGAAAAGTAAAATATTTCCCCTTTCAGGCTTGCAGGATTCTGCTACTATAGCCTATGTCAATAATTCATAATTCTAGTCGTCCTATGGAGTCAGTTTCTTGATCTGGTATCTCTCTCCCATAGGGTGATCAAGTAGATCGAGTAAGTATTAAAAAAACAAAATCACAAATGTGCACCTCCCTATTTTTAAGGTAAGGTAAAGGTTCCCCTCACACATCTGTGCTACTCGTTCCTGACTCTAGGGGGCGGTGCTCATCTCTGTTTCAAAGCCGAAGAGCCAGCGCTGTCCGAAGACGTCTTTGTGGTCATGTGGCCAGCATGACTCAACGCACGGAAAGGCGCACGAAACGCTGTTCCCTTCCCACCAAAGGTGGTCCCTATTTTTCTACTTGTATTTTTGACCTGCTTTCGAACTGCTAGGTTGGCAGAAGCTGGGACAAGTCACGGGAGCTCACCCCGTTACGCGGCACTAGGGATTCGAACCGCTGAACTGCCGACCTTCTGATCGACAAGCTCAGCGTCGTAGCCACTGAGCCACCGCGTTCCCTATTTTTACAAGTTTATAAAACCATGTCTGCGGAGGTATGGTCCCGTGTCATGCCCACCCTGGCCACGCCCCCACCGAGGCCTCCAAGGTCAAGCCCAATCCTGATGTGGTCCTCAATGAAATTGAGTTTGACGCCCGTGATCTAGGCCCACATTTCTTTGATCCGAGTCCATCATCCAGCCATTATGGTTTGCAAGCCAAAGATTACGACTTCATACAGAACGCGAGCCGGGCCATTGCGTCTCACCAAACCTAGTTAAAATAAATCCGGTGTGCTAGGCGAGCCCAGCATCTTACTCCAGTTTAAGACACCAATCCGGGCAGGGTTGGGCTGGAGAACATCTGGACTCCATGTCCCTTATTACCTGAATGTCGCTCCGTTCTCCACAGGACACCAAGCCATCACTTGGCAGGTTTTCTTGGTGATGTTGTAGGGGACGCAATGCCCCGTCTTCATTCCTGCAGAAAAATAACAACAACAAGAAGTGCAGATCTCCCCTTTGCCTCTGCTTTTATGCTCAGGGTTCTGCTGTCTCCGTACTGTCACAAGGGATGGATCAACTGGTAGCTACTGGGTATCATGGACATGAGAAGAGGCTACCCCTTACTCACCATTCCCCAGCACCTCCATCTCACCCGTGGCACATTCGTGGTCAGACATGCAGGAGGCCTTCAGGTTCTGCAGAAGACAAGACGCAGGAGGGGAGTTAGTGGTCAGTCAAGATGCCAGACGGTCCACCGTCCAGTTGGCGAATCCAGAAAAAGAAACTCCCGGGGCATTATTTTACCAAGTCTCAAGGGTTTGTTGCAGCAATCAAATCCAGAAAACACACACGGGTAACGGATGCAGCAGGATTCATTAACTTTTCTTTATATACATAATAACACATGAGACATATATACAGTACCAAGAGTGGTTCTTCCAACGTGGTAGAGAGTACAGGCAAACACAGGCAGAGGAGAGAACAGTTTCAGTTTCAATTCAGCAGACGAACTAGTTTTGTTTTTGAACCCAGAACGTAATACAGACAAAGAGAACCTCCTCTATACAGGGCAGTTAAGCTAAGCTTAACGTGGTCCGCCAGCAGCCTGTGGAGCTGGCAGCAGAGTCGGACAGTGAGGAGGCTGGGGAGGAACATGGGCCAGTCCTGGAGGCTGGGGAAGGCTTGGACGAGGGCTCTGCGTAGGAGGCAGAGAGGTGGCCAGGGCCATCTGGGAGTTACGTGCTGAGCCTCCAGAGTCTGATGTCAGTGAGGCAGAGGAACAGGGGGAGCCTGTTCCCAGTGCGCGCATGTGCAGATCTGCCAGAAGGCAAAAACAGTTAAGACAAAAGGGGCAACTCAGGAGTAAGGCTTGGAGATGATTGGCCCCTCCCATAAGACAAAAGAGGAGCAAAGACACATGAGCCTTTGCAGGAAGCAACGTTGTTTGTTCTGGTCAGTTTAAATTCTGAAGCTCCGTTTTGACTCTGTGCTCCATGTGGCCTTGCAAGACTAATTGACAATGAGGTCTTTGGCAGCGCGTCAAGGGAGATCAAGGCGGGTGCTTATCAGCCTTATCCCGAAGGACTGTGGCAGAACTTCTGCGGACTCTTTACCAACTCTTTGCGACTCATCCCGGGCTGTGAATGAACAGAATTCACAGCCGTTGAAATAAAAAGAGGGTTTTTAGGACTAATTGTGTGCTTTTTACTGTCTCAGGAAGCCTAGGACAGAACACCTAAGCCACACCCAGGCTCCTAGCTGTCTCCAGCAAATACTGTTTCAGTTTCCAAACAGTCCTCATTGGCTGACTCAGTTGCCATGTCTCTGCCGGTCATGAATTCTCTGACACCAAGAGTGCAAACTTTACTGAATAAACACTCAAATGTGCAGCTTCGCTCCAACGTTTCCTACCTCCGGACAGGTCCTTTGGGTCTGCGAAGGAGTCACTTCAACCCGGGTGATGATGCTGAAGACGCTGCCTCCCTGCAGGGGGGAGAGAGGAGGGGGTGAAGGCAGCCGCCCAAGCTTGCCCTTCAAAGCCACGCTTTCCTCCGGAGCAGGAGCCGTGAGATGGAGTGGTTGGAAATCTAACCCTATGGCGCCATCGGCAAAAATATATTTTTAAAAAAAGGCCCTCGCCCCTCCCCAAGGATCCTTTCGGATATCTGCTGATAGCATATCTCCATTGCGCTCCTGAATCCAAGTTAAGGAGAGAGGGAGAGAGAGGGGAGGAGGAAGGAAGGAAGGAAGGAAGGGAAGGAAGGAAGGAAGGAAGGGAGGGAAGAGAAGGGAGGATTAGAGGAAGGAAGGAAGGAAGGGGGAGAGAAGGAAGGATTAGAGAGAAAGGAATGAAGGGGAGAGGGAAAGGAAGGGCGGATTAGAGGAAGGAAGGAAGGAGAATTAGAGGAGAGAAGGGAGGGAGGATTACAGGAAGGAAGGAAGGGGGAATTAGGAAGGAAGGAAGAGGGAAGGAAGGAAGGATTAGAGAGGAAGGAAGGGGAGGATTAGAGGAAGGAAGGGGGAGGGAAGGAAGGAAGGATTAGAGAGGAAGGAATGAAGAGGAGGGAGAGGAAGAAAGGGAGGATTAGAGAAAGGAAGGGGAGGGAAGGAAGGAAGGATTAGAGAGGAAGGAATGAAGAGGAGGGAGAGGAAGAAAGGGAGGATTAGAGAAAGGAAGGGGAGGGAAGGAAGGATTAGAGGAAGTGAGAAGAAAGGCAGGATTAGAGAAGGAAGGAAGGATTAGAGAGGAAGGGAGAGAAGGAAGGAAGGATTAGAGAAAAAGGAAAGGAGGGAGAGAAGGAAGGAAGGATTAGAGGGGAAGGAAGGAGGGAGAAAAGGAGGGATTAGAGAAAAAGGAAAGGAGGGGAGGGAGCGAAGAAAGGAAGGAAAGATTAGAGAGGGGGAGGGAGGGAAAGAAGGTGTGGTCTTTCTAAGGCTTTATAAAGCGGTACTAATACTTCACATGATTTTGATTCTATGCCTCTGTTTATACCACCAGGGATGGTATTTCCAGCAAGGTAAAGGGTGGCCGAGCCCTCCCACCCCCAATGCTCCACCTTTGACTGCTTGGAGAAGTTGCTCTCGTTGGGGGGGGGGGGTGTCTCACCTCTGGGGGCTTCACATATTCCTCCACATCCCACACTTTGCGCTCCGAGAAGGTCACCCCTTTGACTTTGGTAATGACGGAGCTCTCTGGACCGGATTCACACTCCTGGTAGCCCTTCTGGTTGCTAAACACGTACCTGTTTGGCAAAAAAACAGGACATCAGTGGCACCTGAACAATTCCTCAACCAATCTAAGCAGAAATTCCCTTCCTCAACCCACCCACCCCCAAATAAATTACCCAGACCTAATCCACATATCAAAGGATAAGGTCTGCGAACACAACAGAGGTCATTAAATTAGGTGTCCCAGAGGAAGTGCACATTCACAAGAATAAACACCTACACACAGAGAGACACAAACACGTGTCACCCTAGAATCAACACGTAAACATTTCCAGCTCCCCCTATAAAAATCTCCTGCTGTACCCCATTTCTCTGCAACCTGTCCCTAAAAGCAAATTGATTTTGCTTTTACGAATATATATTTCTTTCCTCACAACACTCTGGATCTAATATTATAATATTAATATGCGATATTAAATAAATACACACATACACATATTCCCATGTGTTTCCTTGGCTAAATGTTTTTTTATTTTATTTTTTTAATTTTTTAGACAAACACACAAACATACAATGTATGTTTGAACAGAGTATTTGGCCGATTCGCAATTTTAAACATTGTTTAGTCATTTCAATTCAATTTAGAATTTCTATATTTCCTTTTTGCCATATTTATTTCTCATCTGTTTTTTTTTTTTAAAAAGAACCAATATTACCCTTCATTCTCATCTCTAATCTTAACCAAATTCAGCTTTTCCCTTCTATTCTATATTATATACCCCTTCCCATTGTCATCTATTTTTATATCTATCCTCAAATTAGTTAGTTATGTAATATTACAATGGTTCAATTCTTATAAAAATAATAAAGCCGCTTATTTTATAACGTACATTTCCTTTGATAATACAAATCCAACATTTTAGTGTAAATCAGTTAGTTATATAACTATCTCCCCCCCCCTCGTTTAATCAATATGAACATGAATATTCCAATTATTTCCATTATTATTTCCCGCTAAATCTTCTTCGCATACCCAAGTCAAGCTACACACCACAATATCTGCCCCAAAGCATCTTTGAATACCCCACCATCACCTCTCTCCCGGGAGGGTGTCAACGCTTACCAGATGAAATAAACCAGGATCAGAAGCTGGACCAGCCTGTAAATGATGCCCAAGTTAGGATTCTTCACCACAATCACTTTGGGTGTCTCGTAACTCCAGAAGTCCCTCCAGACCTTCTCAAAACCCATCGTGTGCACCTTCTTTTTCTCGGAGTAGTAGCGAGAAGACAAGACGCCCTCAAACCTGTGGCCGCTCTTGACGTCTTTAAGGGTGAGGAAGTCCCATCCCAGCAAATTGTTTGGAGAATTGTGCCAGGCTGTAGCTTCCCAGAGAGATCATGTCCAAGCGAGAGGCTGTCCAACTCTTCGCTTTACCCGCTGGCTCGCCCAAGAGAAGGCTGCAGGATTTACAGATCCTAGGGAATCCTTTGTCTCTGGCACAATTGGCGAGAAAAGCCGAAGTTGACCCGTAGGGCAGGATCGCCCTCTGGTGCCATCCAAGAGCACCACATCCTCTTGGTCCACCACTCGCCCCTTCACAATCTTTCGGTGGTCTCGGAGCTGGGTTGTTTTCTCGCAGACGTTTCGTTACCCCACCTAGGTAACAGCATCAGGGCTAGTGATGTGATGGCGTTACCTAATTTGGGTAATGAAACGTCTGTAAGAAAACAAGCAAGCTTAGAGAGCCCTGAGGACCCCACAATCTCCTCCTCCTCCTCCTCCTCCTCCTCCTCCTCTTGGAAACCCCCATTTTCATCTAGCCTGATGACTAGATGATGCCACCTAGTCTACAAAAACACAAGCTCAGAGAGAGCCAAGGACCCCACAATCTTCTTCTTCCTCCTCCTCCTCCTCCTCCTCCTCCTCCTCTTGGAAACCCCCATTTTCATCTAGCATGATGACTAGATGATGCCACCTAGTCTACAAAAAAAAAGCAAGCTTCCAAAAATGGAAGTGTAAAGAAATGCCCTCAGAAGAAGAAATAATACATCAAATTTACAGCTGTGCAGAGATGGAGAGAGACTGACTTTAGAACTCAAAAGACAAAAAGTGAATCAACATACTATGAAGTCTGGAATAAATTTTATACTTGGTTAGATAAGAGGAAGAATGCCAAAAACAAGGGATAATGAATGTCTGGAAATGTATATATATATATATATCAATGTATATCAATATATCAAGGTATATTGAATTTGCGAATGTAATATAGGTTTATTAAATATATGTATAGCTGTTTAGGAAGTAAAATACGGTATACTTGATATATAATGAAATAGGAGAGATGTAAATTTGTATATAGATTAAGGAATATATTACTTATTAACTTGAATTTTGACGCAAACGTTAGAAACCAGAGACGTTGAGCAATGTCCATTGTTTTACATTTAAAACTAAAAAAATATTTTAAAAATAAAAACAAGCGAGCTAAGAGAGCACCAAGGACCCCACAACCTTCCTCTTCCTCCTCCTCTTCCTCTTTGTAACCTCCATTCTGTTCTGCACTAGAACAGAAGCGGATGTCTCGTTTGCCGTTTATCATCACAATCCAGACAGGCAGCCTGAATGTCTAAAAAAACACCGGCGGCATATAAATTGAGCTAAATAAATAATAAGAAAGAAAGTAATAAGTAAAGAAGTAATTTAAAAAAAAAAAAACACCCTTCCCCTGAAGAATGGCAGATATACGGATCTTGACAGTTACCCAAATACAATTGCACAACACAGGTGAATGACACACAATAGCTGGCCTCCTCTATCTTCTGCTCAGGTTAATGTGACTCCCCTTCAGTGTGATTTCAGTCTGAGCCCTCTAATTGAATTTTTTTCCAATTGGGTCCGATTGGAATTCCAGAGAAAGGTGAGAAAAAAATTGGGTCAAAATTTAGAGAGGTGGTTCCAACAGATGCAACGGAGACCCTCCCTCTTCCCCCACTGCTCTTCTTCAGGAACTTGAATCAAAGTTAAATTTTATTTTATTTTATTTATATTATTTGTCAAGCATGTATAAGATACCAGATGTAAGTATAAATACGATTATGAATGCAGGAAATGGTGCCCTTTTTTATGATGGTTTGTGAACCCTCCCACTTCAATCCCAGGTCTAAAAACATGGGAAAGATTCTTCAAAATGACTACAAAGAGACTATTATATGTTCAAAAATGAAAGTCTGATACAATACCTTCATTTATGGCTGCCTGGAAATTTAGGACTTTGCATAATATGGGAAAAAATGCATTTATGATTTGTGGTTTTGAGTAAAAAAAAAAAAAGTGTGCATTGTTTTATATGTATATGAGATCATTTTATAATTTCTATTTCTATTTGCCGAAAAGGAGATTGGATACTTCTATTTTTTTTCTTCTTTCTGTACTTTTGCTTTTTTTCCCCCCTTCTTTCTTTTTTATTCCTTAGCTCTTAAGCTTTTTGTAAAACGTTTAATAAAAATTCATTTTTTAAAAAAACCCCAAAACAAATCAAACATACCAGACAGGCTACAGATAAGCTTGGGATCAAAGTCCAAAATTCTCCAGGTTAATAAAATCAGACGCCCAAAACATGATCAAGTCAACCCAACCAGTTCCAAGTTCTGTCTGCACTTCCACTTCAAATCAGAATAGAGCTGGAAGGGACCTTGGAGGTCATCAAGTCCAGCCCCCTGCTCAAACAGGAGACCAATTCAGGTAAAACAGCTGTCCAATCTCTCGTTAAAAACCACCAATGATGACCCTAACCCACAACATCTGGTGGCCAGCTGTTCCTCTGGTTAATCGTCCTCAAGGTTAGGAAGTTTCTCCTTTTAATTCCAGGTTGCTTCTCTTCCTTGATTAATTTCCCTCCCATTGTTTCTTGTCCTGCCTTCAAGTGCTTTGGAAAATTATAAAAATTTAAATTATTCTATTTTAAATTTTGGTATTTATGTGTTTTATTTTGTGGCTGTTCCCCGCCCTGAGTCCTTCGGGAGTAGGGCGGTATATAAATCCAATTAAAAAAAAAAAATTGAGCCCCCCTCCTCTTTGTGGCAGCCCCTCAAATACTGTCATGTCACTCCCTATCACCTCACTTCGGGGGCGGGGTGGGGGGACTCTAAATCTAAGGAAATGAAGTGGGATCCTGAAATTACATAAAAACGCTGAGCCCAGACGAAAGAAAGAAAGAAAGAAAGAAAGAAAGAAAGAAAGAAAGAAAGAAAGAAAGAAAGAAAGAAAGAAAGAAAGAAAGAAAGAAACAACTGTCTTTTTACTGGAAAAAATTTATTTGTTTTAATTTGTCCAACTTGTTATTTCACAGCTGGGTCGAGGTAAACGGAGAGCTACATAACACAATTCTGGATTCCTAACACCGAAGGAGAGAAAAAAATCTTGGTCGAAGGTACAGGATCGCAAGGAAAGAGTAACGGAACAGAAGTTGGGATGGGGAACGGGAGGTGGGGTGGGGTGCAAGATCAATTCAAATCCCCTCGCCCACCCCACCCACCCCTCAAGCGTAGATTCAGAGTAACGGTGCTCCCGGGGCAGATGTTGTAATCGGAGAGTTTGCGCCCATCCTCCAAGGACTGGCTGTCGTACACCAGGTAGAACTGCTCGTTTTGGATCCTTTCCTGCGCGCAGATCTGGGCTCGGAACTGCGCCACCGTGTTGGATGGCAGGACGTGGTAAGTGTTGGTCCGGTTGTTGGCGTTCTTCAGCAGAACCGGGATGGACTCCTCGCTCTTCACCATCAGCAGGAGGGTGTCCCCGGTGCGCAGCCCGTAGTCGGCCAGCGGGGCGTTATCCCGGAGGTCCAGGTGGGCACCGTTCGAGCATGCCAGCTTCTGCTGATAGGGGGGCACCCCGCTCTGGCGCCCCACTTGGGTTTTGAACTCCCAGACGGTTTGGCTGGGGGCGCAAACCAGGGAGTGGACCTGGCCGGTCAGAAGCTTCACGTTCAGAGTCAGCGCCTGGAAGGATGGAGGGGGAGGAGGGGGGGGGGGGAAAAAAAGCGCAATTTAGGATCTGGTTGCAGAGGATCGCTTTAATCAGGCGACTTTCCCACCGGAGAGGGTGGGTGGGGGGCTCAGGACCCCTGCCCCGCTTGGAGAAGCGCCCCCCCCACCCCCGAGGCTGCGTTTAGCGGAGCATCCTCCTCCCACCGCGGAGGAGCGCAACTTAGGATCTGGTTGCGATTCGCAGGCCAGCAGAGGATCGCTTTAATCAGGCGACCCCTGGAGAGGATGGGTGGGGGGGAGCTCAGGACCCCTGCCCCGCTTGGAGAAGCGCCCCCCATCTACCCCCGAGGCTGCGTTTAGCGGAGCATCCTCCTCCCGCCGCGGAGGAGCGCAACTTAGGATCTGGTTGCGATTCGCAGCCCAGCAGAGGATCGCTTTAATCAGGCGACTTTCCCACCCAGGACGACCCCGGAGAGGGTGGGTGGGTGGATTGGGGGCTCAGGACCCCTGCCCCGCTTGGAGAAGCCCTCCACCCCACCCGCGAGGCTGCGTTTAGCGGAGCATCCTCCTCCCGCCGCGGAGGAGCGCGCAAAGTGCCGCTTCTTACCATCTTCAAGCCGTCCGGTGCTTCGAGCTCTCTCCGTCCGCAAAAGCAGCTCCAAGAAAAACCTCACCACCACCGTCGTCTCTGGCTTCAGCCGGCTCCGACCGCCTCCTTTTATACGGCCCGCCCGGGTTTCGAACCTTCCAGGCGAGGCGGAGCTTCTCCGGAAAAGAAAACTGGGAAAAAAGAAAGAAAGAAAACGAGCCAGCGCTGCGCTTCTGCGGGCGGGGAAAACGAAACTCGAAAGGGAAAGCGAAAACGAAAGCGAAAGGCGGCAGCGCGACGGGGCTGGGGGAAAGGGCGAGCGAGGAAAGGGGGTTTCCCGGATTTTTTTGGGGGGGGGGCGAGGGGGCGATGGGGGTGGGGAGAGAAGAAGGGGACGCCCGATGTTTTTAGGCGATCGGGAACAAACTGGCTTTGTTTACCCGATGAACAGAGTTGGAAGGGTCCTTGGAGGTCATCTAGACCGACCCCTACCCAAGCAGGAGACCCTAAACCATTTCTGACACGTGGCAGCCCGGTCTCTTTTTGAAAGCTTCCAGGGATGAAGCTCCCACAATTTCTGAATAACAGAACAAGAACAGATTAACAGAGTTGGAAGGGATCTTGGAGGTCATCTAGGCTGACCCCCACCCAAGCAGGAGACTCTACACCATTTCTGACAAGCGGCAGCCTGGTCTCTTCTTGAAAGCCTCCAGGGATGAAGCTCCCACAATTTCTGAATAACAGATTAACAAACTTAAAAGGGATCTTGGAGGTCATCTAGACCGACCCCCCACCCAAGCAGGAGACCCTAAACCATTTCTGACACGTGGCAGCCCGGTCTCTTCTTGAAAGCTCCCAGTGATGAAGCTCCCACAATTTCTGAATAACAGAACAGGAACAGATTAACAGAGTTGGAAGGGATCTTGGAGGTCATCTAGGCTGACCCCCACCCAAGCAGGAGACCCTACACCATTTCTGACAGGTGGCAGCCCGGTCTCTTCTTGAAAGCTCCCAGGGATGAAGCTCCCACAATTTTTGAATAACAGAACAATAACAGATTAACAGAGTTGGAAGGGATCTTGGAGGTCATCTAGACCGACGCCTACCCAAGCAGGAGACCCTAAACCATCTCTTCTTGAAAGCTCCCAGTGATGAAGCTCCCACAATTTCTGAATAACAGAACAAGAACAGATAAACAGACTTGGAAGGGATCTTGGAGGTCATCTACCTAGAGCCTTGGTGGCGCAGCAGACTAAAGTGCTGATAAGTAGCACCAGCTGCCTGCAATTACTGCGAGTTCGAATCTCACCAGGCTCAAGGTTGACTCAGCCTTCCATCCTTCCGAGGTAGGGAAAATGAGGACCTGGATTGTGGGGGCAATAAGCTGACTTTGTATAAAAAAAGAACACCACTTGGGGGGGGGGGGGCAAAAATCCTAAGAAGGTATATCAAAAAGTATGAAGGCTATTGCTTAACGCATTGTAAGCCGCCCTGAGTCTCCGGAGAAGGGCGGCATATAAATCGAACCAATAAATAAAATAAATAAATAACCCCCACCCAAGCAGGAGACCCCCCACCCCATTTCTGACAGATGGCCGTCCAGTCTCTTCTTGAAAGCCTCCAGTGATGAAGCTCCCACAACTTCCGAAGGCAACTTCTGTTCCATGGGTTGATTGTTCTCACTGTCAGAAAATGTCTCCTTATTTCCAGGTTGAATCTCTCCTTGATCAGTTTCCATCCGTTCTTCCGTGTCTGTTTGGAAAATAGCTTGTTACTGAAGGCTGCCCTCAACCGGCACAGGATGATGGAGTTTGGAGTGCCATCGGTTTTAGAAGGAAGGGGAGTCAGGGATTGCCGCTCCAACCTCACCCCCCCCCACCCACCCAAAAGCTAAGTTGCTAAGTAAGACAAACTGTTGGGCTGTTGGTTTGAGCTCCCAGCTTGGCTGCAATTTGGCTGGCAATTTCGTCACCATTCAAGGAGACATCCTCAGTGGCTTTTGAAGTGTGAAGTGAAGTCTTCTGTCAAAACACAGGTCTTTAAATAGCGGGTTTTTTTGGGGGGGGGGCTGCCAGGTTACTGGTGGCACAGTACTGGAAGAAGGAAGATCCACCCACTATTGAGGAATGGACATTAAAAGTTGTGCATTTGGCTGAAATGGCAAAAAATTTCATCATACCTTAAAGACCATTCAAATGAGAGATATATATCGGAATAGAGAAGATGGGTTGATTATATACAGAAGAAGTATCCGAATAAGAAGATTCATATAGCTTATGAATGAAATAATTTTAAGTAGTTTATGTTTGTTTGTTTTTCTGAGTTATAAGGAGTTAAGGACCTAGGGAGAATATGAAATGTAATAATTTGTTAGCATATTTTAGTTCTTGATTTATGAATGCTATACCCTGTGCTCGTTCTGGGAAGTCTAGGGAGGGGGGTGAGGGGGAGGGGGGGGAGGGCGGGGTTGAGGGGGGGAAGGGTGGGGGGGGTGAAAATGTTTGTATTTCTTATAAAACTTTTCAATAAAAAAAAATAGCGTTTTTTTAATGTGTTGCAAATGTGCGTGGATGTCGTTTGCTCTTAGCATCACATAGAAGATACTTAAAGGCAAGGATTTTGTCTCAGCAACAACAGCCAGCCAATCAAAACAGTCCGAAACCAAACCATGACTCACAAGTATCTCAACAAACAACATTCATACTAATTTGTTCGGATACTTGTGAGTCACGATCTGGTTTCGGATTGTTTGATTGCCTGCCTGTTGTTACTGATACGTGGATTAGTAGACGGCTCAGTAACAACAGGCGGCCAATCAAATAGTTTGAAACCAGACTATGACTCACAAGTATCCGAACAAATAACATTCATACTTATTTGCATCTCATAAAAAATGGTATTTAAAGACCGGCGTTCTGACAAGACGAGTACAATTCAAAACACACGGACGGCATCTCCTCGAATGGTGACACAACGTTTGCAACCAAATTGCCAAGCTCGGAGCTGAAGCCAACGGCACCGACTACCCACCCGAGCTACTAATATTCAAACACGTTTCATTTGTTCAGTGTGTTTTGCCCCCATTTTTTATGACCTTTCCTGCCCCGTTGTTAAGTGAATCGTCGGAGGTATTCAGTTATCAAGATGGTGATTTGGTGAATCTGGATTTCCCATCGATTTCGCTTCTTAGAAAGTCGCAACTGGGGATCACGGGACATTGCAACTGACTCCGTAAACCCCTTAGAGAGCGGCCCCCAACCTTTTGGGCACCAGGGACTGATTCCATGGAGAGGGGTGTTTCCATGGACTGGAGGGGCTTGGTATCATGTGCCGCCTGCATCCCGTGGGTGGGACTTCGCTTGTTTGCGTGGCCCAGTTTCTGGCATGCCATGGCCCAGTGCTAATCCACAAATCTGAGGCTTGGGACCCCTGCTTTAAAGGACTACGAAGTGAAATATAAGTCTAAGTGCTTTTGGTGTTGCAATTGCTAATTCAATCCCTGCTGAGTGCAGGATCTGCTAAATATCACAGCTGAAAGTCAAAGAGAAACTTGGAGTTTAGCGATTTGCAAACCCAGATGGGGAATCGTATCGCAAGGCCGACACAAAACACCTTTGGCGATTGTTGTGGGTTTCTAACCACCTTCCATACAACTGTAGGACATTTTGATGGAAACGTCACGTGAAACGAAAGTGAACCAAGGGGAAAAAGAGGAACTTTTAATTTTCTGGACTTTTAGCAGAAACTGTTGGACAGGAAAGAAAAAACCACAATGTCTACCCTACCCTTAAACTCGTGCACAAAATGCTTGCAAGATGGAGGTGGTTTGAAGAGTGTCAGTGCTGCAACAGGAAGTTTGTGGGCTCAAACACAATAAAAGCATAAATGCAACAAGAGGTGAAAATGTTTATTTAAGCATAGCAAAAAATAATAATAATTGCAATTGCAATGTCATAGGAAGGAATATCATTTAACCAAACCAAGCAACAAAATTCAATGGTAGAGTGTAAATACAGGACCAAATTTTATATCCCTTCAGGAGCTGGAGGCCCTTGTCATTAACCCTTCCATCCAACAAGGCTCCCGCTACCTAACCAAGATAAAAGGAAGAAGATTCAAATTGATTCACCAAGGTCCATGGCCTCTCTGTACTTAGCAGCTCTTCGAGATGGACAGTGATTAATATACCTATAGCATCTCTATTATGTTGGTTATGTATGTGTCCACTTTTAAGAGCAGGCCACAGAATTTCATTTTTAATGTGTGCCAGTGTGCCCACAGTAAAAAATGACAATAAAGGTTTATCTATCTATCTATCTATCTATCTATCTATCTATCTATCTATCTATCTATCAATCATCAGTCTATCAATCATATCTATCATCAATCAATCAATCATCTATCACTCATCCTCTCTCTCTCATCTATTATCTATCTATCATATCAACAATCATCTTATCTATCATATCTATCAATCAATCATCAGTCTATCAATCATCATATCTATCAATCAATCAATCATCTATCACTCATCCTCTCTCTCTCTCTCATCTATCTATTATCATCATCTATCGTATCAATCATTTATCTATCAATATCTATCAATCAATCAGTCTATCAATCACATCTATCATCAATCAATCATCTATCATCATCCTCTCTCTCTCATCATCTATCTATCTATCTATCTATCTATCTATCTATCTATCTATCTATCTATCTATCTATCTATCTATCTATCTATCAGAGAAAAATTTTAGCCAGCATCATATAGTAACAGCATTGTATGTTTCCTTAAAATCAGCCCCTTTACCTGAAATTTCAGGACATGAATATGTGAAATAGACACCAACATAAAGTAATCGTGACTACAATCGGAAGTCAAATCTAAGCTGGATTTCATTCTTGGATGCCACCAAATGTCATCCACCGTATGGATGAATGATGGCTTCTCTTCCCTGTCTTGAATTCCTCAAACTAAGTTGGCTTTTAAAATCACGTCTTTCATCCATTCCAGATTGGTATGTGATTCCTGATTTTCCCATACATTTGAGCTCCTGAAGAAGTATTAAAAGCCAAAGTGCGTTGCCATTCAGATGCTTCCAGCCCAACGTTTCAGATCCACACGGGGCCTCTTCATAATAGAGTGCACCAGCCTTCCTCCTTAGGCACCTCCTTTGCCAGCTGGAAAAGACACAAAAACGGACCGTTGTTTATTTGCTGATGTCTGGAACTCTTTGGCAGGGTGAAATCTACTCACCTTCGCCAGCGGTTCGGAAGTGGGCGCTCCGCGCTTGGGCCCTCTGCACATGCGCAAAGGATGAAAAAAGCTTACTTCCTGGTTAAAACCAGGAAGTAACGACATCTGGGCTGGTGGGCGGAGCCTCACACTGCCACCGATACCGGTTCGGCCGAACCGGTCTGAACCAGTAGCATTTCACCCCTGCTCTGCGGGAGATCTGTTCCTTTACCCTCAGCCCTGCAACGCGGAAGGGGGTAATTTGCTACGGCCAAGTTGCTGTTAACAGTTGTGGCCAACTGATGATGTTACCTAGATTGGCTCATGAAAGGTTTGCAAGAAAACAAGGAAGATCAGAGAGTATCAAGGACTCCACAGTGATCCTCCTCCTCCTCCTCTTCTTCCTCTTCTTTCCCTTTCCTCCTCCTCCTCTCTACCAACCCCCCTCCCTTCTAGTACTGATGATGTAACTTAATAGGGTCATGAAACGCCTGCAAGAAATCAACTCAGCTCAGAGAGAGCACCAAGGCCCTTCTCATTTATTTATTTATTTATTTATTTAATTTATTTTATTAGATTTCTATACCGCCCTACTCCCAAGGACTCAGGGCGGTGCACAGCCAAACATAAAAACACTACAATACAAAATTTAAAAAATAGAATAAAATCAATTAAATAATTTTGGCCCGACAAATTTAAAACCCCACACTTTAAAACCAATTTAAAATTGAATATATAAATACTAAAAGATATTTAAATTTTAAAAATCTTTTATAAAAGAGGGGGAAAATTAGGCCAGGCCGGCCTGGTGAAATAGTAAGGTCTTTAAGGCGCGGCGGAAGGTGCGCAGATCCGGGATCCGGATATCTCTGGGGGGAGCTCGTTCCAGATAGTAGGTGCCCCCACAGAGAAGGCTCTCCCCTGGGGGCCGCCAGTCGGCATTGTTTGGCTGACAAAGTCTACAAAGATTCTCCTTTATTGGTACCAAATTGCTGTGGCCAAGTCACCGCGGCTAACTCTCCGCAGGACAATTCAACAATTCAGTTGAATTATTTCAAATAATTTTTAAAAATATTTTAATTTTTGCTCTTCACGTTTCAGCCTTTCTCTAATGATTCTGTTCCACCATTTCTTTGATATTATACGCAGTCCTCGGTCACAAGGAACCCCAAATTTCTGATGCTGAGCGAGACATTTCTTAAGTGAGCTTTGCCCCGTTCTACAACCGTTCTTGCCCCAGTTGTTAAGTAAATCCCTGTGGTTGTTAAGTCCATAACATGGTTTGTTTAGTGAACCTGGTTTCCTGGTGATCACATGACCCCAGGACACTTCACACCGTCATAAATACTAGTCAGTTGGCAAGCATCTGGATTTTGATCATGGGACCATTGTGTGATCATGAGTTGCTTCAATGGTCACAAGTGTGAAAAACGGTCATAAATCCCATTATTTCAGTGCAGTTGTAACTTTGAACTGTCACCCAATGAACGTTGTAAATCGAGGACTCATGCAGTGTAATTCTCGTGCTGTGGTGAGTTATCCTGGACGCCCTACAACTGGAGAGCTCAGTCTTGGAATTCAACCACTCAACTCTTCTTCTTCCTCTCTGGGGAGACCCCATAAAACAAGGCCCTGCCCCATTTCGAAGCCCACGGCAATTCTGTTCAAACGTTTCCCCCTGATAATAGCGCTTAGACTTATAGACAGCTTCACGGTGCTTTCCAGCCCTCTCTAAGCAGTTTATAAATGTCAGCCTCTTGCTCCCAACAATCTGGGTCCTCCTTTTACCCACCTCGGAAGGATGGACGGAAGGCTAATCAACCATGAACCGTTCAGGATCGAACTCCTGACAATGAGCAGAGTTAGCCTGCAATACTATTCTGATGATAGATGGATAGATAGATAGATAGATAGATAGATAGATAGATAGATAGAAGGATGGAAGGATGGATGGATGATGGATGGAAGGATGGATGGATAGATAGTAGATAGATAGATGGATAGATGATGGATGGAAGGATAGATAGATAGATAATGGAAGGATGGATGGATGGATGGATAGATGATGGATGGAAGGATGGATGGATAGATAGTAGATAGATAGATGATAGACAGACAGACAGAGATAGATATAGATAGATAGATAGATAGATAGATAGATAGATAGATAGATAGATAGATAGTAGATAGATGGATAGATAGATAGATAGATAGATAGATAGATAGATAGATAGATGATGGATGGATGGATAAATGATGGATGAAAGGATGGATGGATAGATAGACAGATAGATGATAGACAGAGATAGATAGATAGATAGATAGAGAGAGAGAGAGAGAGAGAGAGAGAGAGACAGACAGACAGACAGACAGACAGACAGACAGACAGAATGACAGACAGACAGACAAGACAGGGAGACAGACATGGTGAGAGAGAAAGAGAGACAGAACTGTTAGAGGGAGAGAGAGAGATGAGACATAGATCGATGCATTAGCACTTAGACTTATGTATCACTTCGCAGTGCTTGCCAGCCCTCTCTAATCGGGTTTACAGAGTCAGCCTCTTGCCCCCAACCATCTGGGTCCTCATTTTACCCACCTCAGAAGGACGGAAGGCTGAGTCAACCTTGAACTGGTCAGGATCGAACTGCCAAACTGCTGGCAGCTGGCAGTAGCCTGAAGCAGCCTGCAGTCCTGCATTCTAACCACAGCTTCTTATCCCAAAGAAACCCAGGAAAAATGCAACTTTGCCGTTCTTTTTCCTCACCGGCACATTCCAGGGTTCAACCAAAGAACCATCTCGATTCCGACAGCAATTCATGGCAGCGTAAGATTTTGCCTTTCTTGCAAGCCGATCCCAGCCTTTTGCCTTCCCGAGGTTGGCGGTTGGATCTGCTGGATCAAGGATCACTGGCCTGAAGTCCAATAAAGAAAGTTAGAGTCATAGATTCTCACTTAGCAACCTAAATTTTTGGCTCAATTGTTAGTTGTAAGTTAAGGACTGCCTGTATTTGCCTTAACTTCAGTATTTGCTCTCAAGTTATAGAAGTCAACGACGACACCACAGCCCTCTTCCCAGGACCTACTACCATTTTACAACCAGTACACCAATAGTAGGGCTACCATGGCTGGGTTGCAAAAATTCAGATAGATGGCAGCAAAGAGTCGTGTTTCTCTCTGCTGCCTCCTAGTGGCCAGCAGGTTCCTAAATGGTCTTCCTAGGTAAGATGAAACTCAAGCTAGAACTTCAGGATTAATTTTGCAAGGAAAGAAGGCAAGTTGAGTGGGGGACCACGCTTCATATTCTTTGTTTCACATCTGTTTTGCTCTCGCCACTCCAAAAAGGAAGAAACATCGACACATAAGGCAACCAAAAGAAGCAACAGCTCAAAAGGTGTTTGCATTTTACTCCAATTTGAAACTCGCGAGGAGCTGTTGTTGCAGCAGGTTCTCCACTAGAACAAATGTCATTACTGATTTTTGAAAAAAAAAAAATAACTCCTTGGAATCCAAGGTGGGAGACTGACCTCTTTTTACAGAGTTGGCCCTGTAAATACCGCTTGATGACCTCATTGTCAAAATTATAGTATTTTGTCCAATAGATGCGAATCTCCTTATAGTGCTCAATGAGCCAAAGCACTGTCCGGAATCCCTCTGCCGTGTCGAACTGGTACTGTCCACTTCCTTCCTCCCAGGCGTAGACCGTTAGTAGCTCAAGGGCATACTTCGGGGGGAATGACTTCTCCTGCACCTGGGTTAAAACAGCAAAGCAGTTTCAATAAAACTCACGGCAATATTTGAACAAGGAAACCGAACAAAAGACAATCTATCCTTGACAGTTGCAGGAACTGGGTATGTCTAGTTTAATGAAAAGAAGGACTGGGGGAGACATGATAGCGGTGTTCCAATATCTCAGGGGCTGCCCCAAAAGAAGAGGCAGTCAAGCTACTCTCCAAAGCACTTGAGGGGAGGACAGGAAGCAACGGGTGGAAACTAATCAAGGAGAGAAGCAACTTAGAACTAAGGAGAAATTTCCTGACAGTGAGAACAATTAATCAGTGGAACTCCTTGCCTCAAGAAGTTGTAAATGCTCCAACACTGGAAGTTTTAAAGAAGATGTTGGATAACCATTTTGTCTGAAGTGGTGTAGGGTTTCCTGCCTAAGCAGGGGGTTGGACTAGAAGACCTCTAAGGTCCCTTCCAACTCTGTTATTCTATTGTCTATTCTATTGGAGCTGGGGGTGTTGTTTCCTAAGAAAGACTGACTCAACAACCCTCCTACAAAAGTCTCACTCCGGAGGAAAACCGGATTCCATAAATTGGGACCCTGAATCCCTTCTCCAGGCAACAGACCTCGTTGTACCAGTATTTCACCAGGCGGATGAGGCTCTTCAACTTGCTGGGTCGGTCCACGATGAAATCCTTTTGCAGCTCCGTGAAGCAGGGAGAGAACGCGCCAGACTTGGTTGGACGATTAATGATGAAATTTAGTAGCTCAATGAACCAGGAGGAGAACTCGCCACATTTGCCTGTGAGTATCAGATCGACGTATATCTGAGGGTCAGGCCTGGAGCCGTCATATTGGCCTGTCAAGAGAAAGTCCAACCAGGTCTCAAAAGCCCTTTGGAAATAATTCTCCACCAATTTTGTAGACAGAGAATCTTACCTGATTTCTCCAGTGGAAAAACTGCTTCGGAAAGGCCGGTCTTCCGGGAAAGAGATCCCTCCAGGATCCTCTGCTGGGACTGCAGGGAAACTGAGGAAGCCAGCTGGGTGCAGCGCTCACTGCCCCCTCCCCCTCAAAAGGACATCCCTTCCCACCCAGGAAAACCTCACCCATCTTCTCTCTGCCGTGGAAATAATGGCAGAAAGCAAAGGAACAAAGGAACAGATGGCGAGATGCTGGATTTTCCTGCTTGCTCTTCCGTTGCCACTTCATTTCTCAGAACCACAGTGGGGCTCTTGGGGACTTTCTTATATAAATTACTGACATTCCCTTCAGAGCAGCGGTCCCCCACCTTTTCCAGCTCGGGGGCCTGACGTATGTGTGTGTGTGTTTGTGAGAGAGAGAGGGAGAGGGAGAGAGGGAGGGAGGTGCATGCGCGCACACCGCTCCATTTGTGGGAACTGCGGTTGTGCGCACTCTCCACTCGTGTGAGTGGAGCTTTGCTCAGGTGCGCCCTTGCCCATCTCTCCCGCGGCTCGGTTTTGCACAGCCCCGGGATTGGAGGGGGGAGGGAAGGGGGGCTTTCCTTGCTTCAGGAAGAAAACCCACCTAAGGCATCGTAGGCCGGCAGGACATCAAATTCAATGAAATCCACGGATTTTTTGGAACGTAATTTGAACTGGAGCACCCGAGGGTTGGGCCACTTGGACTTCTCAAATATAAGTTCCAAACGCATGTTCTCCTTGCATTGGTTGAACCACCTTTCCGTCTCCTTGAAGATCACGTTCTGCTGCTTTTCCTTCTCGGTGTATCTTTTGAGAAGGTCCAATAACAACCCCAGGTCAGCATTTGACAGATAGGGTTCCCCCCGGCCTTCCTTCCGCCACCTTGCAATCTCCTGGATGAGCCTCTTCCGATCATTTTCCTGCTCTTTGTATGTCTCCCAGATGTGATGGAATGGCACCAGGTCAGCTTCTGACAAACACAGCTCCTTCTTGCATTCCCGGAGCCACATATTAATCTTCTGAGTGATCTCCTTCGGATCCTTTTCCGGGTCTCTGTAACTTTCGAAAAGGTCCAATAACAACCCCACGTCAACATCTAACTTGTAGGGCTCCTTCTGCCATTCGTCGAGCCGCCTTTCGATCTCCTGAATGATCCCCTCCCGATCCTTCTCCTGGTCTGTGTAACTTCTGAAGATGTTCAAGAACAGCACCAGGTCGGCATCTGACAAATACGGCTTCATCTGCCGATTGATGACTTGCCTTTCAGTCTCCTCAAAGATCTTCTTCCAATCCTTTTCCTGGTCTATGTAACTTTTGATTAGATGCCATAACAGATCCCAGTCACGATGTGAGAAACGCCATTCGCTGAGCTCCCTTGCAATCGCATGGATGAACCTCTTTCAATCGTTTTTCCTGTCATCCAACTTTTCGAAGATGACTCGAAATCTTCGAGAACAGCTCCAGGTCGGCATCTGACAAATACGGCTGCTTCTGCCATTGGTCGATCCGCCTTGCACACTCCTCAATGAACATCTTCCGCTCCTTTTCCTGGCTTTGTAAATTTTGATAAGGTCCAAGAACAGCTTCTGTACAGCATCTGACAACCAGCTTCTGCAGCATAGGTTGAGCCCCTTGCATCTCCTCCACTCTTCCCTCTAATGATCTTCTTTCTATCCGTCAATTCTTCCGGTCTGTAACTTCTGGAGATGTCAAGACCAGGTCCAGCCCCGTCCGTTTTTCATGGATGAGCCTTTTCCAGCGATCCTCCCTGAGAAAGGACAAAGGGAAGGTTTCAGGTAGTGTAGTCCCCTGGGCGTTTGCACCAAGGTAAAGGTAAGGTTCTGCACTCGCACATCTGTGCGTACTCGTCCGCAACCTAAGGGAGCGTCGGTTCTCAACTGAGCCTCCGGCCCAAGAGCCGCAAGAGCCTGCCGAAGATGTCACGTGGTCAGTGATGGCCGCATGCCTTCAATCGCAACGCTCACCTTTCCACCACAGGTACCTTGAGTCCCTATATTTTCATACTATATAATAAATAAATTTATTTTATTGTAATGTGTCATTGACAGTATAGCCATACACAAGTAACATTCACTTCGAACTGGGGTTGGCAGAAGCTGGGAGCAAGTCACAGAGTCACGGCACTCCCCGTTACGCGGCACTAGAGATTCGAACCGAACTGCCATACCTTTCGATGACAAGTCAGCATCTTAGCCACTGAGTATCCGTTTGCACCAAGAGATACAACAAGATGTTATGTGAAGAGGAGGAAGGTAGTAACGATTTGTTAGCGCCTAGCATAGAACCAAGAACATTTTTCCCTGAGATGATCCATTTTGCCCCAGGGCCCTTGGCCAGGTCTTCCTTGCCCACTCTAACCTACCTCAACGCTCCCTCAGATGATAATCCCTCTACTGCATGAGGAAATCAGGATCGATGCAGGAGAGGAAAGAATCTGCAAAAAAAGGTTTTGAAGAAATCAGTGGCCAATCTCTTCTATATTGTTGTGAGACCCCCCCTTCTCCAAGACGGATGAGTTCAGGAAGTCGCCAGGAATGGATTCTTAAACCGATCACTTAGGCTGGCAGCTGTTGGGTCAACCCTGCAGCGCCAGCTAGATGGTTATTTCCAGCAACGAAGGGCTGCTTCTCCCTTCGGACAAAATGTGGGCAGATGAGACACTAACAGCTTTGGATGTCCTAGATAGCAGCTCCATTGGAAGCAGAGGCGTTGCTGGGGAGGACTGTCACTGCCCCCCCTCATTCCTTCAAGCGATTTCCTGACGTTTTACGTCTTACCTCCAGAAGTTGTGAATGCTCCAACACTGGAAGTTTTGAAGAAGGGATGGGACAAGCCTTTGTGTGACATGGCATACTAGAGTCTCCTGCCTGAGCAGGAGTTGGACTAGAAGACCTCCAAGGTCCCTTCCAGCTCTGTTATTCTGCTAAGCTACTCCAGCAAGCTGGAGGGGGGATGGGCTCCTCCGGTACTGACCCCCCCTCCCCGCCTAGTGTGTGGTCATCAAGCTCAGACAACAGAATATTTCAACACCAACCCCCCCCTCCCAAATTCAGGACAGCTTGCCTGGTGATGGGGGAAAAGCCCTTCCCAACACCTTCTCCCTTCCCCAGGCAGAGCCTCCCCCCCCCCTCCCCAGCTCCCTCCCAGGCACCTGCCTGCCCATCCTCCGCTCACCTTCACCACCTTCACCACCTTCAGGCCACTCCAGGGCGCATCCTGGAAGCAGCGTCTCTTGAGAAAGTCGCAGATGCGCTCGATCTCCTCGCCGGCCCTTCGCAGAAACTCCTTGTTGGGCTGCAGGTGCTCAGAGTGGAACTTGTCCAGGCGCCACGAATCGACGGGGCCGAGTGAGCCCATGGCCAGAGCAGCCGGAGGACTTCCACCGCCGCCCTCCGCTGAAGCTCAGCTGCACCCGGGATTTCTTCTCACGTTCTTCGGACCAGTTCGTTTCAGTGGCAGGAAACGGAGGTGGAGCTGGCAGCACTTGTAGGGCTGAGAGAGGGCTGGAAAAGGGGGGCCGGTCATGTCTGAATGGCATAATGTATATAAAATCTGAGTGCCGATTATATAAATTTTATAGAATATCTGAGTGCTATAATGTATATAAAATCGGAGTGCAGCATTATATAAACTTTATATAATATCAGTGCTATAATGTATATAAAATCCTAATGTTGGATTATATAAACTTTATATAAAATCTGAGTGCTATAATGTATATAAAATCTGAGCGCTTGATTATATAAACTATGTATAATAACTGAGTGCTATAATGTTTATAAAATCAGTGCTGGATTATATAAACTATATATAATATCTGAGTGCTATAATGTTTATAAAATCAGTGCTGGATTATATAAACTTTATATAAAAACTGAGTGCTATAATGTATATAAAATCTGAGCGCTGGATTATATAAACTATGTATAATAACTGAGTGCTATAATGTTTATAAAATCAGTGCTGGATTATATAAACTATATATAATATCTGAGTGCTATAATGTTTATAAAATCAGTGCTGGATTATATAAACTTTATATAAAAACTGAGTGCTATAAATATATAAAATCTGAGCGCTGGATTATATAAACTTTATATAAAATCTGAGTGCTACAATGTATATAAAATCTGAGCGCTGGATTATATAAACTTTATATAAAATCTGAGTGCTATAATGTATATAAAATCTGAGTGCCGGATTATATAAATTTTATATAATATCAGTGCTATAATGTATATAAAATCCTAGTGTTGGATTATATAAATTTTATATAATATCAGTGCTATAATGTATATAAAATCCTAATGTTGGATTATATAAATTTTATAGAATATCTGAGTGCTATAATGTATATAAAATCTGAGCGCTGGATTATATAAACTTTATATAAAATCTGAGTGCTATAATGTATATAAAATCTGAAAAGGAGTCCTGGCAATCCTGGCTCAGCCTCTTCCTCTGACTTCTCCTTGCAAGGCCTGGAACTGGGACCACCGGACTTGTTGGCAAACCTCAGTGGAGGCCCCGGACCTCGGAGGAGATTTTGAGCTGTTTCTTTTTGGAACCTACTCAGGCAAAACCTTTATTTTCAAGCAGGGTGGATTTTATTTAAATCAAGTCAATTTAAATCACGATTTAAATCACTAGTAAAAAGCTTTGATTTAAATCAATTCAAGTGCATAAAATGCTTGCAAGACGGAGGTGGTTTGAAGAGTGTGTACAGGAAGTTTGTGGACTCGAAAACAATAAAAGCATAAACACAACAGGAGCCGAAAATGTTTATTAAACAAAGCATAACAAATAAGAATAAGAATAATTGCAATTGCAATGTCATAGAAGGAAGGAATATCATTTAACCAAACCAAGCAACAAAATTCAATGGTAGAATGTAAATACAGGACCAAATTTTATATCCCTTCAGGAGCTGGAGACCCTTGTCATTAACCCTTCCATCCAACAAGGCTTCCGCCACCTAACCAAGATAAAAGGAAGAAGACCCTGGATGAATGATGGCTTCTCTTCCCTGTCTTGAATTCCTCAAACTAAGTTGGCTTTTAACATCATGTTTTCTTTCATCCATTCCAGATTGGCATGTGATTCCTGATTTTCCCATATATTTGAGTTCCTGAAGCAATATTAAAAACCAAAGCACATTGCCATTCAGATGCTTCCACCCCAACGTTTCAGATCCACACCGGGCCTCTTCATAATAGAGTGCAATAGCACCGTCCTTCCCTCCAAGGCACTTCCTTTGCCAGCTGGAAAAAAAAACACAAAAACACAGTTGGTTAATTGCTGATGCCTGAACTCTGGGGGATGATCTTCCTTCACCTCTCAGCTGCACACGGCGTGAACTCGGTGGGGCATGGCTGCGCTTGCGGTTAACAGTTGTGGCCAACTGATGATGTTACCTAGATTGGGTCACGAAACGCCTGCAAGAAATCAACCAAGCTCAGAGGGCACCAAGGACTCCACAGTAATCTTCCTCCTCCTCCTCTTCTCTCCTCTTTCCTTCTCCTCTTCTCCACAAACCCCAGTCCTCTCTAGCACTGATGATGTTACTTAGTAGTCTCAGCTCAGAGAGTATCAAGGACTCCACAGTCTTCTTCCTCCGCCTCCTTGTCCTCCTCGCCCTCCTCCTCCTGTCTACGAACCCAACTCTCTTTTAGCACTGAGGATGTTACTTAGTAGGGCCATGAAACATCTGCAAGAAAACGAGCCAGCTCAGAGAGGTCCTCATTTTACCGACCTCGGAAGGATACAAGGCTGATTCAACCTTGAGCCGGTCAGGATCGAACTCCTGACAGACTGAGCAGAGTCAGCCTGCAATAGCAATAGCACTTAAGAATTATGTGCCACTTCACACTGCTGGCAGCCAGCAATAGCCTGGAGTAGCCTGCAGTCCTGCATTCTGACCACGGCTTCTTATCGCAGACAAACCAGAGCAAGAATGCAACTTTGCCGTTCTTTTTCCTCACCGGCACATTCCAGGGTTCAACCAAAGAACCATCTCGTTTCCGACAGCAAGTCATGGATGCGTAAGATTTCGCCTTTTCTGCAAGCCGATCCCAGCCTTTTGCCTCTCCGACATTTGCGGTTGGATCTGCTGGATCAAGGATCACTGGCCTGAAGTCCAATAAAGAAAGAGTCATATGAGCAGGCTGGAGCAGATGAGTTCGGGCTCAGTTGAAATTCCCCACGTCTCTTAAGAGATTTAGATTTTTAACATGAAAGCAGTGGAAATATTTCTTCACTGGAGGAGAGGCAGATTAAAGATCAATCAAATGAAATCAGAATTAACTTGGGGGCTGAGCGCACCAGGGCCCACTGAAGAAATAACCCACGTCTTAGATTCTGGGGGAATTCTTGCTAATATCCACAGGGCTCATTTGAGACCAAAATTATGAGCTGCCAACCATGATCTCATCATGCAATATTGGCCCTTCGAGAATCTTGGAAGGCTGTTGAAACAACTCTCCAACTTGCACCTAGCATACTCAAGGCAGAATTACTCCAGGTTTCTATTCCACGGTTCCCAACTTCCCTGGATTAAGGAATCTCCACCAAAAAGACTCTGCCCCAACTTCCGTTCCAGGACCAGCCTGATGTTCCAACATGTGGCACAAGCACATCCGTTACATCTTACAATTGTGACGCCCATAGCATTTGCTGTCATGCACTGTACTGCAGAGTTACACAATTGTGTCTATGATATCTATGGTTATCTACGGGACCGCCTGCTACCACCAATAGCCTCCCACCGGCCAGTACGCTCCCATAGAGAGGGGCTCCTCCGGGTGCCGTCGGCCAAACAATGTCGACTGGCGGCCCCTGGGGGAGAGCATTCTCTGTGGGGGCACCTACGATCTGGAACGAGCTCCCCCCGGAGATACGGAGGATCCCGGATCTTCGCACCTTCCGTCGCGCGCTCAAGACTTTTTTATTTCATCAAGCTGACCTGGCCTAAATCATCTCCTCTTTTAAATTTAAATTTTAAACATAAATTTTTAATCTGTTTAATTATGGGGTATTTTAAAATTCAGCCTAAATATTTAATTTGTTTTAATTTATTTTAGTATTTCCTGTGTTTTATCTTCTGGCTGTTCACCGCCCTGAGTCCTTCGGGAGAAGGGCGGTATAGAAATTTAATAAAATAAATTTAATAAAATAAATAGCCTATGTTGACTCTCTCCAGGGAGCCATTACAACGGAGCTGCTAACTGGAGTAGGCCAGCTGTGCAATGGGACAACTTTCTGTGGCCTACTTGCCCTAGTCAATTCGCCACGGACAATTCAACGATTCAACGTATTTATTTAAAATAATTTATATATCATTTTGGTCATTTCCATTTTATTTTGTCCTTCCTTTTGCATCCTTTCTTTAACGATTCTATTCCCTCATTTCTTTGATATTAATGTAATTCTTCTTCCATGGCAAGAAGATCCAGCTAGCCAACACATCCAAGATCAGTCAAATCCTTACTGGCAGCCTCTGTAGAACTACTAACTTTAGCTACTTTGTGGCTTCACTTGCTGTGTGAACCCAGCCAGTCTGATAACTTTTATTTCAGAGTATTGCATGGGATTAGAAAATGTACTTGTTTAAACGTTTTGTGCAAACCCAGCCGAAAGCTTACTCATATTAATATATACTCTTATGCTTTTGTAAAAATATCATTTTTGACCACCTTAACATCAAATTTCTATTTTTTCCATCTTTATTTCTCCACAGATACCTCCTGCTTATATTTAAAACTCATTTAAAGATTTAAAGATTACATTTTAATTTTATCTATTTTATTTCTTACTGAAACCAGGCATTTCCTAGTTGTTAAAAAATATTCTTCTCAGCTTCCCTAGAGTAACTAAGTACTTTCCCTTAACTTCAGTATTTTGATGGATACTACCTTTTCACAACTACACTAATAGTAGGGCTACCATGGCCAGGTTGCAAAAATTCAGACAGATGGCAGCAAAGAGTCGTGTTTCCCTCTGCTGCCTCCTAGTGGCCAGCAGGTTCATAAATGGTCTTCCTAAGGTCAGATGAAAGTCAAGCTAGAACTTCAGGATTAATTTTGCAAGAAAAGAAGGGAAGTTTGGGGGGGGCACACATCATATTCTTTATTTCACAGCTGTTTTGCTCTCGCCACTCCAAAAAGGAAGAAACATCGACACATAAGGCAAACAAAGGAATTTTTGCATTTTACTCCAATTTGAAACTCACTAGGAGCTGTTGTTGCAGGAGGTTCTCCACTAGGACAGATGTCATTACTGATTTTTGAAAAAAAAATAATAATAACTGCCTTGGTATCCAAGGTGGGAGACTGACCTCTTTTTACAGAGTTGGGCCTGTGAATACTGCTTGATGATCTCATTGTCAAAATCATAGTATTTTGTCCAATAGATGCGAATCTCCTCATAGTGCTCAATGAGCCAAAGCACTGTCTGGAATCCCTCTGCCATGTCGAACTCGTCCTGTCTACTTCCTTGCTCCCAGGCGTAGACCGTTAGTAGCTCAAGGGCATACTTCGGGGGGAATGACTTCTCCTCCACCTGGGTTAAAACAGAAAAGCGGTTTCAATAAAACTCACGGCAGTATTTGAATGATGAAGCTCTATGAAGGATAATTTATCTTTGGCTATCTTATAACTAATTAGCACCATTTTAAGGCCAATATACTTAAACAGACTTTATTATCTGGTCCCCTTGGTTGATTTCCCAAATGTCTATAAAAATTCAGACTGTGGCTTGGTGACAATTCTGGCGTTTTGGTGCTCCTTTGGCAGCTGGTTGCCTTCTGCTCCCAGGCCAGGTGGCCTCGGGTCCCTCTTCTGATGTCCCAGGTCAACAGTAGGATAGTCTTGGTTTCCTCTCTTTCCCTCCCCCCCCCATATTTCATGTCATGCTGGCATCAAAGGGAGCAAGGTTGCAGTGGGAAGATGGCAGCTCCGACATACCCAGATGTTGGGATGTGTCTATTCATCTATTCATGTGTCTCCTCAAGGATTTATTCTCCTTGCAGACAGCTGGTCATTTGCATTCTTTTACAGAGTCCTTGAGGCCACCAGAGGACTGCTGGTTTGAAAGAGGGGTCAAAGAGACCATCGATGTCAAAATTGAACAGCCCTCTCTCAACAGAAGGGGAGGGATAGGATCTACAATCTACAACAAAGTCCTTTCAGCAGTTCCAAAAGGCGACCATGAGGATGCAGAGAAACCTCCCAAGTGGCCTCAATGACCCTCTAAAAGGATGCAATTGACCAGCTGTCTGCAGGGAGTATAAATCCTTCCCTTCTCCACCATCCAGTCAGAGCTGAAGAAGCTTCTTGGAGGAGAAGCAAAAAGTCTTCAAAGAAAAAACATGAAAATCCAGTTGCCTCTTGAAAAAGAGTCTCTTAGACACGGTTACTCGTGGGGAAACCGATTCCATAAATTGGGACCCTGAATCCCTTCTCCAGGCAACAGACCTCTTTGTACCAGTGTTTCACCAGGCGGATGAGGTTCTTCAGCTTGGAGTTTTCTCCTTAATGAAATCCCTTTGCAGCTCCGTGAAGCAGGGAGAGAACTCGCCACTTTTGCCTGTGAGTATCAGATCGACGTATATCCGAGGGTCAGGCCTGGAGCCGTCATATTGGCCTGTCAAGAGAAAGTCCAACCAGGTCTCAAAAGCCCTTTGGAAATAATTCTCCACCAAGCTGTGTGGACAGAGAATCTTACCTGATTTCTCCAGTGGAAAAACTGCTTCGGAAAGGCCGGTCTTCCGGAAAGAGATCCCTCCAGGATCCTCTGCTGGGACTGCAGGGAAACTGAGGAAGCCAGCTGGGTGTAACACTCACTGCCCCCCCCTCAAAAAGACATCTCTTCCCACCCAGAAAAACCTCACCCATCTTCTCTCTGCCGTGGAAATAATGGCAGAAAGAAAAGGAACAAAGGAACAGATTGCGAGATGAATTTTCCTGCTTGCTCTTCAGTTGCCACTTCATTTCTCAGAACCACAGTGGGGCTCTAAGGATTTTCTGAATTGCTTACATACACTAATTACTGACATTCCCTTCAGAGCAGCGGTCCCCCAACTTTTCCAGCTTGGGTGGGGACCTGACCTGGCGTGTGTGTGTGTGTGTGTGTGAGAGAGAGAGAGAGAGAGAGAGAGAGAGAGAGAAAGGGGGGGCATGCAGACACACAGCTCCATTTGTGGGAACTACAGTTGTGCGCATTCTCCACTCGTGTGAGTGGAGCTTTGCGCATGTGCGTGCTTGCTCAGGAAGAAAACCCACCTAGGGCATCGTAGGCCGGCAGGACATCAAAGTCAATGAAATCCACGGATTTTTTGGAACGTATTTTGAACTGGAGCACCCGAGGGTTGGGCCACTTGGACGTCTCAAATATAAGTTCCAAACGCAAATTCTTCTTGCATTGTTTGAACCACCTTTTCATCTCCTTGAAGATCATCTTCTGCTCCTCTTCCTGCTCTGTGTATCTTTGGAGAAGGTCCAGTAAGAACTCCAGGTCAGCATCTGACAAATAGGGCTTCCTCCAGCCATTGTTCCGCCACTTTGCAAACTCCTCAATAATCATCATCTGGTCCTCTTCCATGCTTGTGTATCTTTGGAGACTATCCAATAATAAAAACAGGTCACGAGTTGAGAAATGTGGCTTTTTCTGGCACCGTTTGATCTCCTCAGTCATCCTCATCCGGTCCTCTTCCTTGTCTCTGTATCTTTTGTAAAGGTTTAATAAAAGCTGCAGGTCAGCATTTGAGAAATATGGCTCCGACCAGCCTTTGTTCCTCCACCATTCGATCTCCTTAATAATCATCATCCGGTCCTTTTCCATCTTTAAGTATCTATTGAAGAAGTTATTTAACTGCACCAGGTCAGCATCTGACAAATACAGCTCCTTCTTGCATTCCTGGAGCCACATTCTAATCTTCTGAGTGATCTCCTCTGGATCCTTTTCCAGGTCTCTGTAACTTTTGAGAAGGTCCAATAACAACCCCACGTCAACATCTAACTTGTAGGGCTCCTTCTGCCATTCGTCGAGCCGCCTTTCGATCTCCTCAATGATCCCCTTCCGGTCCTCTTCCTGGTCGGTGTAACTTTTGAAGATGTTCAAGAACAGCACCAGGTCGGCATCTGACCCGTTTTTCATGGATGTGCCTTTTCCCAGTGATCCTCCCTGGGAAAGGAAGAAGGGAAGGTTTTAGGTAGTGAGTCCCCTGAGTGTTTGCACCAAGAGACAAACATATTATTCACATTATTCACATTATTCATATTATTATTCATATTATTATTATTATTATTATTATTATTATTATTAAATAATTATTTAATTTTATTTAAAATTATTTTTAATTTTGGGCCAAATTTATATATATTTTAATTGTTTTTTAATATTTGTATTTTATGTTTTTTAATTCTGGCTGTACACCGCCCTGAGTCCTCAGGGAGAAGGGCGGTATATAAATTTAAAATAAATAAATAAATTAATTAATTAATCACCTTTATTGTCACTGCACAACATATGTACAATGAGATTGGTGGAGCTCCCTCAATGCAACCCCCCCCAACACAATACAACTCACAGTGAAGACAGAAAACCCCTAACCCAATAAATCCTATTAACAAAACACGGAGTCCTATTGCACCCGTGTGAACATGTTACACGTTGCACCGGCCCTGCAAGTCTATCCTACTACGTAGTTACGATGTTATTTTGCATTCAGGAGCCTGGCAGCCCAAGGATAAAAACTCTTCTTCAGCCTGTTTGTGCGGCTGCCTGTGCTTCTATATCTCCCTTCCCGATGGTGGGAGGGTAAAGAAGGGCTGGCCAGGGTGCGAGTCGTCCCTGAGGATTTTCCTCACTCTTCTAAGGCAGCGAGCCCTAGCGATCTCGTCTAGTGGTATCAGGGGACAGCTGATGATGTTTTGTGATGTTTTGTGTGTTCTATTCTATTCTATTCTATTCTATTCCATTCCATTCCATATTTTCTACTCTACTTTACTCTATTCTATTCTATTCTATTCTATTCTATTCTATTCTATTCTATTCTCTATTCTATTCTATTCTATTCTATTCTATTCTATTCCATTCCATTCCTTCCATTCTATTCCATTCCATTCCATTCCATTCCATTCCATTCCATTCCATTCCATTCCGTTCCGTTCCGTTCCGTCCGTTCCGTTCCCTTATTCTATTCTATTCTATTCTATTCTATTCTATTCTATTCTATTCTATTCTATTCTATTCTATTCTATTCTATTCTATTCTACATGTAGTGAAACATGTTACATATTTGCACCCCATAATATCACACATGTTCATTAAAATGAGGTCTGGCATCAGAAGGGGCGTCAGTGTAAGGAAAAAGTTGCTTGGAGTTCACAAAAGAGATTAAACCAGACCCCAATTACAAACCCCAAAAGTTGTACTGACAAACTTTTCCTTATCTTGGAGCCAGTCTCCAGCTTCTCCTTAAATGCTCATTTTATCAATGGCTAACTAGCAGAAACGGAAGTTAGAAATCTGCAAGCATAAGAGAATGGCGAATGACATAAGGAAGGTACAAGTAAATAAGCAAATACTGTTGTTATTAGGGGATCATTATTAACGTTATGAATATTACTATTATTATTACGATTACTGTTTCTCAAAATCAACTGTATTCAGACCACACCCTGTTTACGTAACAATGAATTTTTTTTTATATTAAATAAAAAAAAAATTAAACTGGAGGGGAAAAAAAGCTAATAAACCTGAACGCCATTTTAAAAGAGGGAAAACAAATCAAATGAAAATACAAAGTATGATGCAGGAAAAGCTGTTACGAGTAATGTAAATTTGATTCCATTGCATTACAAAAACAAACAAGGGGTTTCTTTTTGTGCCTTTTATAGGGTTTTTTTTTTTTGCGTTGTTGTTTTTTTGTTTTTGTGTATTGTGCCTTTTTTTTTTTTTTTTGTATTGTATATTTTAAGTTTTGGAAACTTAATAAATATTATATTTTTTTAAAAAAAAGAAAAGTAAATACAAAGTATCTACGTTGGTTAACCAATGACATAATCCATCTCGCTTGTTTGCCCCTCCGACAACAGAAGATTTCAAGACTCCCCCAAAAAAACCCCTCTAAGTCAGGATAGCTTGCTTAGTCATGGGGGGAAAAGCCCTTCCCAACCCCGTCTCCCTTCCCTGGGCAGAGCCCCTCTCGCCCCCCCTCCCCAAGTCCCTCCCAGGCACCTGCCTGCCCATCCTCTGCTCACCTTCACTACCTTCTGCACCTTAATATCGCTCCTGGGCCCATCCTTGAAGCAGGGCGCCTTAAGAAACTCGCAGATGGAGTGGATGGCTCGGCGCGCCTTTTGCAGGAACTCCTCGTTGGGCTGCAAGTGGTCGTGGTGGAACTTGTCCAGGTCCCACGATCGGACGTAGCCGAGAGAGCCCATGGCCAGAGCAGCCGACTTCCAACGCAAACTTCCACTAAAACCCAGCGACTTCCCTGGCTTTTGTTTCTCCTCCTTCGGACCAGTTTCGTTTCCCTGGCAGGAAAAGGAGGGTGGAGCTGGCAACGCTTGGAGGGCCGGGAAGGGGCTGGAAAAGGGGGGCTGGAGGAGGCGCCTTCCCACTGATCTGCTCCGAGGAACAGAGATGGGTTTCAGTAGGTTCTAAGCAGTTCTGGAGAACCGAACCGGTAGCAGAAATTTTGAGTAGTTCCTAACTACTCATTAATGTTCACACTTTAACTGTTTATTTATCAAGCCCGATCACATAGTTTGGTAGCGGAGCTATTCAGCTCAGTATAAATATAAAGCATCTTCTTGAGGCGAGCAGTTCCACTGGTTTTTATTCATTGTTTATTTATTGTTTCGATTTATATGCCGCCCTTCTCCGGAGATTCAGGGCGGCTTACAATGCGTTAAGCAATAGCCTTCATACTTTTTGTATATACCTGCTTAGTAGGGCTTTTGCCCCCCCCCCAAGCGGTGTTCTACTTTATACAAAGTCAGCTTATTGCCCCCACAATCCGGGTCCTCATTTTACCTACCTCGGAAGGATGGAAGGCTGAGTCAACCTTGAGTCTGGTGAGATTCGAACTTGCAGTAACTGCAGGCAGCTGGTGTTACTTAACAACACTTTAGTCTGCTGCGCCACCAAGGTTAATGGTTCTGGCTGTCAGGACATGGTTTCTGAGCCTGTATAAAAGCCTAAATGCTCCAATAAAAATCTGAGTGCTGGGTTATATAAACTGGATTATATAAATGTTATATCATCTAGCGCACTCAGATTTTATTAGAGCGTTTACGCTTTTATACAGGCTCAGAAACTATGTCCTGACAGCAAGAAGCATTAACCAGCGGAACTACTCGCCTCCAGAAGTTCTGAGCAGTTCTGAACGGTTCTGAGCGGACCGCAGCCCCCATGGCCTGGGTGGGTGGGGGTGGGGGGGCAGGTTGGGGACCCCTGGATTGGAAGGCTTCCAAGGTATTATCAATATCTAGATCTCCAGAAAGGGTCTTATCAATACATACAGAATTATTAAAGTGATATAATGTGAGATTCAGGAAAGGGGATATTTTTGTAAACCTTAATAAAACTTTTCAATAAGGAGAAGAAAAAAAAAAACATCACTTGCGTACTTCCCCTTTCCTAGAACAGACAAACCCCCAAACAATCTCATTTTGGTACTTTTCCAGAATATCAGTTTCCGCAAAAAAATAACTTCACGATACATATTTCCTGCAAAATAAGCATTTCAGAAAATCCTTATTATGTTCTTTTTGTTCAGTTATATAATCAGGTTATACAAGGTAAAATAAGGCACGTAAAATGGCGTAACTCGGGTTATACTTTTACAGGAATAATAATTATATTTCTCACATATAACGAGTGCGTGATTAATTAAAAAGACAGCCTGCGCAAAACAAAATACACCGAGTTTGTTTTTATAAGTGTTGGAAGAAATATCCATCTGGGTTCAGTTCCAAGTGGGGAGAAAGACACTGGAAACATGGAGGCTGATTGGAAAGATGGTTTATTGGGGGACAGGACCCTGTGGGTTGGAGGTCCTGGGCAGCTGAACACATGGAATTTAGAATGGGGTTTTTTAATACCCTCTCTTGGGCCTTGCCCTTGAGCTTCCTGTTCCTGTGGCAAGGGCATGTATTCTATTGGTTGCTGTAGGGATCACAGTTAACTTTTAAGGTTGTCTGAATTACGTTTGATTGAAACCTGGACTCTCTGAGATGATGTAATGAGGTGGGTTGTGTCCCGAAAGGGTGTTGGGCCATTCCTATTGTGTCTTCATGACTGTCTTGGTTTGGATTTTGAGTGAGGGCTACTGAATTCTGCCTTTGTTCAAAATATCCTGTCTTGAATGGATTACCAAATCTGCATTTCTACAAGCTGGCCTCAGCCTAGTATCTGAGCCAAAGTGGCGCAGTGGTTAGAGTGTAGTACTTACAAGCTACTTCTGCTCACTGCCGGCTGCCTGCAGTTCGGCAGTTCGAATCTCACCCTGCTCAAGGTTGACTCAGCCTTTCCTCCTTCTGAGGTGGGTCAAATGAGGACCCAGATTGTTGGGGTTTGCAAGAGGTTGACTCTGTAAACCGCTTAGAGAAGGCTGGAAAGCACTGTGAAGCGGTATATAAAGTCTAATTGCTTTGCTCTTCCTTCCTTCCATCCTTCCTCCCTCCCTCCCTCCTTTCCTTCCTGTGCAGTAGTTAGAAAGCAGTATTGCAGGCTAATTCTGCCCACTGCCAGTAGTTCGATCCTGACCGGCTCAAGGTTGACTCAGCCAGCCTTCCTTCCTTCCTTCCTTCCTTCCTTCCTTCCTTCCTTCCTTCCTTCCTTCCTTCCTTCCTTCCTTCCTTCCTGTGCAGTAGTTAGAAAGGAGTATTGCAGGCTAACTCTGTCCACTGCCAGCAGTTCGATCCTGACCGACTCAAGCTTGACTCAGCCTTCCCTCCTTCCGAGGTGGGTAAAATGAAGACCCAGATTGTTGGGGGCAAGAGGCTGACTCTGTAAACCGCTTAGAGAGGGCTGGGAAGCACTATGAAGCGGTATATAATCTAAGTGCTATTGCTATTGCTATCTGCTTGGGGGCAGGGAGCTGTGGGTTCTGAGTTTCTGTTTCCTTTAAGATTTCTCTTTCTCTTTGAGGGGAGATATAATATTCCGCCTTTTTAAATATTTTCTCAAAGTATTTCATTCTTCTAGGAGGGGTTGGGTGCTAACTTTCTACCTAAGCGTGAATGTTTTGAGTTTAATGCCAATATCCGTAATGTATTAGTTCTTAAATTAGTCACACGGTTGTTAAGTGAATCCAGCCTCCCCATTGACTGTCAGCAGGTCATAAAAGGGGATCACATGACCCTGGGAGAGTGCCACCGACATAAAGGTGAGTCATCTGTCAATCATCCGAAGGTAAATCACGTCAGCCTGGGGAATGCTGCAACGGTCATAAGTGTGAAAAACGGTCGTAAGTCACGTTCCACAGTGCCGTTGAAACTTTCAACGGTTACTTTGAAGGGTGAGCTGTTGTAAGTGGAGGACTACCTGTAGTGCGGAGCGTGTATAAAATTGTATAAATAAAAAAAGGAATTTTACTAGCTGTTCCTTGCTTTCAGCAGACTGGGTTGCCCAAAGCATGAGGGACCACTAGATGGCAGCAGCGAGATACAAACGCTTCTAATGCTTATTCTGAATTACTGGTATCTTTATATATAGAGGAAGGAGAGACTGGCTTGAAAGACACAGATACAGATTAACAGAGTTGCGAGGGACCTTGGAGGTCATCTAGTCCAACCCTACACCATTTCTGACAGAGGGCAGTCCAGTCTCTTCTTGAAAGCCTCCAGTGATGAAGCTCCCACAACTTCCGAAGGCAACTTCTGTTCCATCCGTTGATTGTTCCCACGGTCAGAAAATTCCTCCTTATTTCCAGGTTGAGTCTCTCGTTGTTCAGTTGGTGGCTGCTTTGTTTTGCTCAAGCAGGCGACCCAATACCATTTCAGGCCAGTGGCTGTCCAGTTTCTTCTCAAAAACTTCCAGTGATGAAGCACCTACAACTTCTGGTGGCAAGTTGTTCCACTGACATTCAGTATCTCAGGGGCTGCCACAAAGATGAGGAAGTCAAGCTATTCTGCAAAGCAGCTTCTGAAGACAGGACAGGAAACAATGGGTGGAAACTCATCAAGGAGAAAAGCAACCTAGAACTAAGGAGAAATTTCCTGACAGTGAGAACAATTAACCAGTGGAACTACTTGCCTCCAGAAGTTGTAAATGCTCCACTGGAAGTTTTTAAGAAGATGTTGGAAAACCATTTGTCTGAAGTGGTGTAGGGTTTCCCGCCTGAGCAGGGGGTTGGACTAGAAGACCTCCAAGGTCCCTTCCAACTCTGTTATTCTATTCTATAGAATATTATTTTGCCTTGGTAGTACAGTGGTGCACCCTGTTATTAAGACCAGCTGACTGCAATTACTGCAGGGTTCGAATCTCGCCAGGCTCAAGGTTGACTCAGCCTTCCATCCTTTCTAAGGTAGGTGAAATGAGGACCCAGTTTGTGGGGGCAATAAGCTGACTTTGTATAAATATACAAAAGGATGAAGGCTATTGCTTAGCGCATTGTAAGCTGCCCTGAGTCTCCGGAGAAGGGCGGCATATAAATCAAATTTAAAAAAAAAAATTATTATTATTATTTTTAATTTGATTTATATGCCGCCCTTCTCCGGAGACTCAGGGTGGCTTACAATGCATTTGCATTTGGTTCCCTCCCACAGCCATGAAATTACTTCCTCCTTGGACAGAGCGATGAGGGTCAGATTCCAATTTCAGTATTCCGAGATTCTCCCGTCTAGTTTTGACCGATGGGACAACAAAGAGACCTTTAAGACATCCTCAGGTGATGCTGAGGACCACAACACAAGAGCCATGTCACATCTGAGGCCTGGACTCTGGACTCGGGGCTGCCACTGATGATTGTTTTCCTGCCACTTCATCCCCGCAGCACGCTTTAATCGCCGTTCCTGGGTGATAAGCACAAGATAAGGGCTCGTGCGAGCTTCCTTGGGCTTTGGCAGGACATCTGGAAGTAACCTTCAGCCTACTAGGCATCTCTCGTCCATTGATGCGGAGGTCAAGGCCACCAATCCTGGCCACCAAAGGGACAGAGATGCCTTGGTAAGGGCACACTCTCGGAATCCTGCATGCAGTTTTGGTCCACCATATTATAAAAAAGATGTGGAGACTCTGGAAAGAGTGCAGAGAAGAGCAACAAAGATGATTAGGGGACTGGAGGTTAAAACATATGAAGAACGTTTGCAGGAACCGGGTATGTCTAGCTTAATGATAAAGGGATGCAGTGGCTCAGTGGCTAAGACACTGAGCTTGTCGATCGAAAGGTCGGCAGTTCAGCGGTTCGAATCCCTAGTGTCGCGTAACGGGGTGAGCGTCTGTGACTTGTCCCAGCTTCCCCTGGAGCGGGGAGGGAATGGGGATTTTGCAGTATCCTTCCCCTGGAGTGGGGAGGAAATGGGGAATTTGCAGT